AAAGAAGTTCTTTGAGATGTAAAGCAGCCGGGCAAAGTCGTGTTCACAGCCGGTCAATTTGCCCGGTGCCCGGCCCTTAATGAACCCCCTGGAGCAAGCAACACTGATACAAGAATCTGAGCTGGGGTACGCATGTATTTACAAGATTCAAACGTTCACGATGATGTACGTTCCTTAGTCCATTGTAAATTTAACGACGACCAAGGTAAAATTGGGTTGATTTCTTTCATGAAAACAGTGACGGCAGATCGTGGATCATGGACAAAACGTCAAGGTGAGCGATGTTAGGCTGTTGCAACGAATCAAAACATCATTTGGCTGCAGTCCGTGCAAACTTTATGTAGAACAATCGCTCTTATTCTCTTTATTTTAAAAAAAAGATAAACTTCAATGTCGGCATGTTAATGGATGTTCTTACATTTAGATGAGTGACCGTGATTGCTGAATATTTACAAAGCGAGACTGTCGTAGATTTTTTATATGTCACCTGCTTTTGTAACGTGTACGCGTGAATACTAATAAAGTATCAGTTGCATTTTGTATTTCTTGTGGTTTTTACTCCGCTACTACAAGGCCTCTTGTCAACTCCTTTACCATGTCTCATGATTATTGTATTGTTGAAGTCTGCATTTCTTTTTTTTGTACAACTGTTCTTGGCAGCGCTTAACTAACGCTGCACAGCGCTGCATAACAGCTGTTTATCAACCTTATGGCCTCGTGTGGCTATTTTTTTGCATCTTTACGGCAGCGCTCCTGCAGCTCTCAGTGTCGCTACCGCAGCGTTCACGCAGTCACAAAAATGCACTGCTGCAGCGAACGGAAAACAGCGTTCGTGCAACCTTTCTGCAGCGCTCGTTGCAGCGCTAATAAGTCGCTAAAGCAGCGCTGTTTTAACGTCTTCTGTATCGTACGGGTGAAGGGGTTGGTGCATGGTACTTTTGATACATTGCCTCAGAGGTTTGTAGCACAGATTTTTGTGTTGATTTATTCCTTTTTTATCACAGTCTCAATTGGTGGAGGGATCATGGGTGTGTCATATATTTAAAATTATAGCAGCATTTCTTTTATGCATTTTTCTTTTATGACAAATTCAATTACTTTTTTTTCGAGTTCACCTAAAATTTAGTTGCTTGATGGCTTACTTTGCTGGTTTTCAGGGTTTTCATCTTTAAATTTGAGCGATATTATGGAATCTCTGAATGGCGAACATTGCATTTCTAATCAGAAGCCATAACATGTCATCTCTTATTTATGTATTTATGCATGGGTCTCTGATAGTTTTCATATTTGATCCAACAATAATTAAGTCATTGAAATTTGCCTTTTAGATATCCTTCACACAAGGCATGGTATGCCACAGATCAGATATACAGAGACACATCCAGCAGCAATCACTGCCACCAGAAACCTTGGCATTTGTGAATAAAATGGCTGGAAATAAAGAAAGGTATATTTGCACATTTTATATAAATGGTCTCTTGGTCAGCTTGAGACCAAGATAGAGGGATCAATCACCAGCCTAGCCCCTAGTGTATTTAAAGGGACCATGGGGATATCAAACCTACAGGTACATTATATATCCTGATAAAACCTTGCACTACACCGCAAATTTCAACTTGATTCCTAGCCCTGTATTATAGTCTTTATTTCAGCAAATGCATACTCATCAGATAATCCATAAGTCTGCTTTGAGTTCCTGAATGTTTACGTTTAATCTATCAGCAAATTTCCAGAAGAATGGATAGCATCCTTATATCTAACCCCCCAAAATTTACAGGTCAAACGTGGCAGCAGTCGAGGAAGGTATTGAAGTATTGGGGGCTGAGACTAAAAAACATTATCAGTTCACGAGAGGATGGCACTAAACCTTTTCCTCAGCACCAGAGGTCTTGAGATGGTCCATGAGGGTGAGGAAGTATCAACGTTTCTGCGGGTGCAAAAAGATGGGCAAGTGTTCCACTCCACAGAATACACAAGGGTCACGACACACAATTCCTTCACAATAAAATTTAAGAACCCTTGAGAGCGTGATCATCTCTCGTATGGCCAGGTGCTTCGGTACGTATAGAGAGGAGCTTTCCTAATTGCCATATTAAAGCTGCTTCGTGAGTATAGGGAGCCCATCCTGACTTCACACATGACACACAGCACCTACCTATGGCAATAAAAGTTGAACTGTCATCAAACATCATTGCCATTGATGTCAGCTCAATTGGAAGAAAACGTGTGTTCGTCAATACAGGTGTTGATAACAAGACAAGTTATAGCAAGGGCTAGAGTCACCTGCTATTGATGTATAAGAAAGACAGTTTGCTAATTCATGGACAAACATTTTTCAGAGTTTTGGCGGGTCGGAGTGATAGGGAGAGAGATTACTAAAGGTCTGGGTTCGACCCTGGGTGGTGATTTTCATTTTTTTTTAACAGAAACTCTCAATAGCAGGTCAAAAATTTTCTGAGTGTCTCAAAAATGGAAGCGGCCGTTTTCGAAAGGGACAAAGCAACTCTGACAACAGTGATGCAATTCATTAGAGGCAAGTTTGTGCACCTTATTAGTACTGAATTTCGCGGGTACCTAATTTCGCGATTTTGACGGGACAGTATTTTGCTTTAACGGGCAACTATGAAAAAAGGGCATTAAAATTCGCGATTGAAGTGTTCTCGACTTCATTTAGAGTTGGAGGTTGCCAGTTAAACCAGTAAGCAATTTGTGTTTGTTCATTTTACATGTCCTGTATATGTTGTATACGAGTTAATTCTGTTTTTAATTTTCTTAACGTTGTATTAAATTTCGCAAGGATTTATTTTCGCAGGTCTTTAACAACCTCATTCCAGGGGCTCTCTCCCACCCGCCTCTCGCTCCGTAGGGCCAGCAGGAGAGAAACCTGGGAACGAGGTTGGGCCTTTTATTTCACGATTTTTTACAATTGTGAAAAACGCGAAATTAACTATTAATTAAATTAGTACAGTCAAACCTCCACTAACCGCCACCTTTCTACAACGGTCACTCATCCTGGCCTTCGATTGCCTTCTCTGATTTATTCTGCTGCAGTAAGCATAAACTATCTACAACTCCTTCAGCGAATGTTGCAAGCATTTTTTTTTTCATGTTAGCAATTTGATTCCAAAAATTATTTTAGCATTTTTCTGTATTTCATCTCTTTATATCGTTTACGATTGCATTACTGTTATGGGGTACAGTAAGCATGAATTTGACACGATAAATATGTTTTACTTCCCTAACAAAACTTTGTCATATTACACCCCTAGCTCCCTACAACGGCCACTTTCTTGGAGAGGTTTCGACTGTACCTCTTTTCAGGGCTCGCGCAGGGGGAGGGGCTGGAGGGACCTCTGCTCCTCCCCCACAATTTATACAGTAAGCATGAATTTGACACGATAAACATGTTTTACGTCCCCAACAAAAATCTGTCATAATTACACCCCCACCTCTCCACAACGACTACCTCTCCACAACGGCCACTTTCCTGTGTCCCCTAGATGGTCGTTGTGGAGAGGTTTCGACTGTACCTCTTTTCTGAGCCCGTGCAGGGGGAGGGGCTGAAGGGGCCTCTGCCCTAGCCTCCCACGCAAACGTTCTTAGGGGTTCGTCACGCAATCTTTCCTCCCCCACGGGGGGGGGGGGGAAAGATTGCGTGACGAACCCCTAAGAACGTTTGCATGGGAGGCTACCTCTGCCCCTCCTCCATACTTTTTGAAAAATAACGAAAGAAAAAAATAAAGTAATAAACATTTTCATATGAACCGTATATTTGCCATATCTGATGCGTAGTAAGCCTCATAACTCCTAATTTTACAAAACTACACTTAGTCGAAAACTTCTACGTTCTCAAACCAGCTAGGCTACATATGCAAGGATGCGGAATGCAGTCATTTTATTGATGAAGGTTCTCGGTTAAATCTGAAGCCTACTCCAAAGAACTACGCTCTCTTATTAAAAACGAATTATATCGGCGATAATCAGGGGTACCAACGACTGTTTTCTGTAAAACATCTCTTCCGAGAAGCAAAAACGCCCTAGAATTTGCTACAGCTTGAGGAAGGCTAAAGATTTCTAGATGATCGCTCGATCCATTCACGTACAATTTTCGAATTATATCTAAAAAATTATCTACGATTTTCTAATTAAGTTCAATTTCTCGCATTTCAGTCCGCAGGTTAGACTATTTTTCGTAGGAAATGGAAACCTAAAATTTTCGGATTCGAAAATGCGATGGAGAGAGCTGAATCAGAAAAATTCTCACTTTCGTAAAACTTAAAATTGTATCTAAAATTTTCGAGAAATAATCCGGGTGGGAGGGGGTACTCTAGGGAATTCTTGGTGGTGGGGACCGTTTGCCGCCCGGTTCTCCAAATCCTGACCCTCTTTCAGTTCAGACCAAGAAATGTCATTTTTCACACCCATTCCAGACCTAGCCTTTAAGAAATTAAGTCATCATTACTTAGATTAGAACAGCAACAAAAAAGAAATGAAATCCATTTCGAATTCCCATATTTCTCTTTTTTTCTTTCTTACTCATTTGGAATTGAAACAATAAATACGTTCGTACACTACTGTAGTTCCCTTGAGAACCATACCCGATTCTAGACCAAAATGAGCAAAGTCCCCAGGGGCGCTTTTCCCTGACTTTGGAGGCTCAAAAGCCAGGAAAAAGCGCCCCTGGGGGCGAGGTTGCAAAGTATACTGACCCATTTTCAGACGCCATGGCGCAAAAACCCTACCCTTTGGGGGGCACATACCTATACAGTGACATAGGGGAGTACCCCCTCCCCCGGAAAAATAATCCTGAGGCCCTTGTAATTTCGAAAAGACTCATATTTCCCTTACGATGACCGAACAGATACAAATTTTATAGCGTCACTTAGAATTCATTTCTTTAGACTAAAATCTAAAAGTACTCTGGATAGCCTAGTCTAAAAACGGCTGTGTAGCAGACTATGGATAGCCTAAAAAGTGTTTTCAATAACTTTCAGAGGAAACATCGTTGAGTGACCCTGGATGATGTGGTCTCTGACGCATTAAAAGCCTAACCGGAAATTTAAAGCTTTCATCAATGGTTGTGATATTAGATGCTGTACATGTTTCGATGACATTCTAGACAAAATGAGAGAGTAACAGGAACCTCAGAAGGTCATGATCTGCAAACTTCTCCTGGTGAATCCTGCATGTGCATACCCACCAAAGGCGCAGCAGGAGAAACGTCCTTTTCAGCGGTTTGAAAGTTATGAACATACCTCAGCTCAACAATGACTCGTGAAAGGTTCAGTAACCTGGCAGTTCTAAACAGCCACGAAAAGAAAAGAGACAAATTTGTAGCCTGAGAAAACAGCCGACATTTGGCGGCGCTACCACTCGTTTCCCCGCCAAATTACGTCTGAGAACCGAGCGCAGAAATTTCCTACTCACCTCTGATGACGCGTCACTATCCAGCTGGGTAGTGCTTCTGATTGGTTGAATCAAATTTCCCATGCACGCAGCACGACCAGTAAGAATCACTACACAGATCTGAATAGTGACGCGTCATCAGTATATGGAATTTTTGCGCTCGTTTCTCAGACGTCATTTGGCGGGGAAACCAGTGGTAGCGTCGCCAAATGTCCGCTGTTTTCTCAGGCTAACAAATTTGCCTTGCCTACGTAGAAAGTAAATGTTCTGTTCGTAATGATAAAGAATCCACCTTCCCGCTCACCCGCCCTCTGCAAAAGAGGTGAAAACTAGCCCACACTTTAAAAACTGCTTCGCGGGCCCTGCTTTTGTTCTTGGTCCGTTGCCGTTATGCTTTCCAAGACCCTCAATTAAACAATTTTGAGCGGAGAACATACTAGGGTGGGTTTGCTGAGAGCTCGATAGAGACAGGAAGCTTATTTGACAGGGGGGCTTATTTATTTACCGATGTCGTATCAGTTCTCCATGAAGAGCTCTAGTCTAATACAAAGTTGAGAAGCTCAAGTACAAGAAGTTGGAGGTGATAGTGCAGTCGAACTTCCAGTTGGTGAATAAACCTTCCCGCATCAGTAGACCTTTCGGGTTTTTTTCAAGGTCTTCCATTGAACTGATAAGACTTTTAATTTCAAATTCCTCAAAAAGGCATTTCGGACTGATAACGCTTGTTCGTTGTGCCTTGTGGACTGGTGCGTCTCCGTAGCTGACTTTTTTTCATGTTCGGTCACGATTCTAGCAATCTCATGTCATCATCCTTTGTCGTAATACTCTTGGATTTTCTGTAAGTCCAGCGGTCCCACCGTCTCCTTTAATAGAAGCGTTCTCTTTTTCACGGGCATGATCCACAACAATTGCAGAGAATGCATTTGTGGACTTAAGAAAACTTGAGTATTTGGCAGAAATAAATTCACTGGCTGTAGTGATTATTCTAGGTTTTGTGATCGTAATGAAAAAAAATATTATTTTAAGTAAGTTTTGGGGAAAATGTCGTACGTTGCCCACTATTTGAGGACTTTTACAGATAAAATAGTATGCTTCATGCCGGGGGGTACTCAACAAAATTATACGGGGAGACTCCGCTCCGACCCTTACTCTTTTCATATACCATTTTTGACAGAATAAAAATCCCTTTAGTATATCTATAGGCAAATGGTACCCACTACATATACCTAGTTTAGAACTATGCATCGCTTTTAACCGCTGTAAACCACTGTCTTTAATATATTATGAATAATGTAAACTACGGCTTGAAAACCCGCTCCAAAAACCCTGAACCGTCAATGTAGCTCAACGTTGGATCAAACAAGATCGTGATCAGTCGAAAAACATAAAAATAGAGTTAAAGTGAAAAAGACTACTACAAAGACTGATCAAACAACGTGAAAAAGGCTGAGGTATACAATGTTTCGACTGGCCATCCAATATCAGTCTTCATTAGGTTTATTCAGTACAATAGGAAAAACCACGAATATACTACTGTAAAATAATAAACGGAAGTTACGTGGTATGACGTGGTAAGGTGTGAATAAACCGAAAAAAAAAAATTAAGATTACATAATGATTATGGTTCGTCACGTTTGTTCATGATCATTCCCAGAGGCTCGATGGTTTTGGCCTAGTGGATGAGGTGCGTCTCACGTGCTTTCCTAAGACAACTTCGTTCATACCTAAGTGTTTCACTTGGGATAAGTAACATATGGGAAACGGAGTGGCTGTTATTGATACATCACAAAACCAGAGTGTTTTATCCACTTTTTTACAGCCATAAAATGTGGCTCTTAGCCCGTTTGGGACTTTTTACAAATCAAAATGATAGTAGACTGATTTCCCTACTCTTAATTCATATCCTTCAACTAGTGAATTCCCAACCCTTTCTTATACCTGGAGCCTGAAAAAAGCACCCCTTTCGACCTGAACCTCCTTGTACAGGCCCAAGACAGTACCCCTGTGTTTCACGATGATATCTCTGCTATGTGCTCGTCTCTGAACAAAGATGGAACTTTTCTTAATGGATCTTTCACTTATATAACATTTCCGATATATTTGATAGCAAATAGAGAGTAGAAGTCGTTACGTCATGTTACCGTGGTAGCAAAATTTTTGGATGACAACAAACCGATAAAGTCACCTAAAAGTCTATTCGCACTATTTCAAACTTCACCGATCTTATTCAGTTTCATTTAATTTAGCAAATGTTGGCAAAATTTTCCTTGCGACTGTATCTATCGTTGTCTATGGTATGAAAAAGAAAGTGACAATTTTGGAGTTGTGTTCATCTGCTCAATAAATTGCCACGTGAAATTAGGAAGTGTCATGTCGTGGTTGTGCAACAAACGGCAAAGAAATGTACAAAATAGCGTGATGCACGTGCAAAGTTGGTGTTTGTTATATTTGCCGTTTCTTTGCCGTCGCCGTCGTCATTGGTTTTGTTGGAACAGGCTATATTACTTGTAAAAAATTTACCCCGAAAAAAGTTGACGTCAGCATTTTAAACTGATTTATTCCTGTTACATGACTTTTCAGCGGTGCCTCTATATCAAAAATTCTTAAGTACACAGAGGCCTATTTTAATAGGTACACTTTAAAATAGGTGCACTTATGTTCTTTTATCATAAAACGCAGAAATCCCTCTTTTAACAGCCTGTCTAAGAGGTTTAGAGTGGCAAAACAACAACTTAGCACGTGCATCACGCTTTTTTTCTTTACCGTCACTACAAAACTACCACTTGAAAATACCTAATTTCACGTTTTGTGGGGAACGTGGACACAAGACAATGACTTTCTTTTTCTATTTCTGAACTGTGATGCGGTCTTTTAGAATTCAACTCCAGAAAAATTTGCCAACATTTAACGAACTGAACGAGGTGGAATATTAAAACGCAATACGGTTTAAAGCAGCGCGAATTCACTTTTTAAGTGACGGTTTCGTACCCGTTGCCGTCGTCGTTGCTTCAGCTCTCTCTTCGTGGTCCTATCAGGTTTAAGTACCGGAGATCTTATCAAGTCCTAATGAGATTTCCAATTAAGGTCTCCAGTATTAGTTTGTTACTAATTAAAATTTTAATCAAAGGCGAATTTTACAAGTTATCAATCAATTCATTCTAAACTATCAAGTTACGTTTTCATCCTAAAATATTACTATTTTAATCTATTTCTACTGAAATTCTAAATGATGCTGTAATATATCTTAATCAAGTTTTGATTTCATACTCACACTGGCATGCAAGCTACATGGCTTTTCGGTCCAGTTGGTTGTGCAATATCTCTTTTTTGTTCTTCGTCTTATGAATTGAAAATTTGTGACCTTTCTGCCCACAGGAAGGTTTTTCTTCAAGGTTATCTAGGAGGTGTCTAAAAATAAACGTACATCGATTTAAATATTCAATTCTCTTATTTTAGTAGGCGGAAGTTTGTTGATACTAAGCAAGCAGGTTTCAGTTTTGGGCTTTTTTTGTCGCTTGTTCTATAAAAATGCTTGCGTCACGTGATATCAACCGACAAGGATACATAAGCTTTGTGTCAATGTCAATAGAGTGTGACGTAAATGAATAGCAAAGTCTTATTGGCTAGTATACTCCTTGCTTGCCTCAGCTGTCAGTCAAAATGGACTCAATCCCTGGTGCAATGAGCGAAGGATAGCTAACTTCGCAGAGTGGAAAGGTAGCGCGTTTTTTTGTCACTCGAAAGAGGAGGCGAAGTTGGAAGTCGTAGTTATAAAATGACTACACTTCTACCCTTTACACCGCCTATAGTGAAGCGGTTGCTGGGCTGGAAGAGAAGTACGGACCAAAATGACGATGACAAATGGGCCGAAAAGGCCGTCAAGAGTTTAGTGAAGAAGTTGAAGAAGACCGGAGGCCTCGAGGAGCTAGAAAGAGCGATCACCCAGGGAAGTACAAACCCGGGAATACCTACAAAATGTGTGACAATCCCTCGCAGCTTGGACGGCCGTTTGCAAGTTTCGCACCGCAAAGGCCTTCCACATGTGATTTACTGTAGATTATGGCGTTGGCCAGACTTACAAAGCCATCACGAGCTACGACCGATCGAATCTTGCGATTATGCTTTCAGCTTGAAGAAAGACGAAGTTTGTGTGAATCCTTTCCACTATCAGCGAGTCGAGACGCCAGGTAACTTAACCAAAAGTATTCCTGTAACTTCTTTACGCAAAAAAGCCTTGCTAGTAAAGGAAGGGTTTGCTTTTGTGTTCGCTCGGCGTCCCAATTAGTCGATCTCGTTTTGTTTTGGTCTCGGCGCGTGTAACATTAATTTGTACACTGCTCGTGTGTTGGCAGATCGTTGTCGGTGTCAAACCGTTTGTATATTTCACTTACGCTAAAGTTATACTTTGTCTATATCGAAATAGCTGGGATGACAAGCGAACATAATCGCCGACAACGTTGTAATGCCTAAGTTGTGAAGAGAAATAAGCTTACATATTTCTTGTAGCTCTCTTGCTCTGCTCACATGTGTTTGATAATTACCAAACCTTGGTGGAACGAATATTTTACGTACTATAATGGAAACACAATCCTTTTGAGGTTAAGTTTCTACTCGAATCATCTTTCGTTTCATTTCTATGAATTTAGTAAAAGTGTTCTCATTTTTTTTTATTTCATTAACCAAACGTGTGCAAGAACCTGCAAAGGATTTCCGAAAGAGATCGTGTACCATTCCGGAATATTTTCCAAATGGAATTTCGTTGTACAGGCGTATATTTTTTGACCTTCGATATTCAGTTGTTGCTTAGTAGATCTAGGATTTGATCCGATCTGATCAGTCGAAATTTCCATTTCAAAACAGATGCTTAGATTTTTGACGTCGTAACTCTTACATTAACCTGTATGTTTTCTACAAATCACGAGAAGAGTTTTTAGGCGTAGTTTTGCTAGTGCTTTTCTGATCGCCACTTTTCTTAAAGTAGCAAAGAAGTTGTAAAGAAAACAAAAAATGACTGTTTCATATTTTACGAAAGCAAGTTAGATGTATTCGTTGGATCATAAATAACATGATTTTGAATTCATACATTGTTTTAATCGTCTTTGCCTTCGACTCACTCCCGACTTATTTCGATCCGTATTAAAGTTTTTATACGTTGTAGGATGGTGCTTGTCATCTTTTGTTTCCTTCAGTTGTATGCAGATTTAGTAAATTGTGTATTTGACATTTGAGTTTGTGTGTTTATGTTAGCGTGGGATCACGCTAAGCGAACTTTCAAGTACTTTCAGCAACCGTTTGACGGGATTCTTCAATGACATATTGTTTCAGTAGAGTTTTATATTGATTTAAAGGTCGTTGAAAATTTTATTATAAGCTTGACTTGCCTGGTGATGGAAGTATTGCAATGTGTTTGACCACGACCTCGGCGTGTTTTTTTGATGTGCTCACTTCCATGAGGTATGTTAATCCGCGGAAAGCAACACTTCGAATACAGGGATGTTTTCAGTTCATGAATTGCTTGGCAGAGATCACAGTATTGGCGTCTTTTGTTATCTAAGTATTTCTCTCTGAAAATTGCTTTTTTGTCTTTTTGCGCGTTCCTTTATTCATGCCCACTACATTTCATCCTGTGCGCGCACATGTAAAATAGTTTATTATTTTAAACACCAATCTAGCTAATACCTAGCTTTTTTCGCATGTAACAGTGAGATTATTTCTCGACATGTACGTGTGTTGTCCTTGTGAAAACAATATAGGGGAAATAAAATACAAAAGATTTTGGCTTATATCGAACTCCGGAAGGGAGTTTCCTTGCGTTCCAAAACAGGAGATTTTTGTTATCTGATATAAACATTTTTGACCAAGTGCGGATCACATCAATCATATTTGATGTCTTTATAGAGGAAAGGGAAATTCTTCTTTAGATCTTTCAGTGGTAGTTAAGTTTGTATACGCCACTTACTTTAACTAATTTATTTTTTTCGATCAAAACTGTAGCCACATTTGAATTTTAATTGTTGGTTTTTATATTGACAGGAAGTCTATTTAAAGCCTTAGGATTAATGCCGTAATTACAGAATTCAATATTTTTGTTTTCATTTGAGCCTACTCAGTATATCTGTAAAAGACATTTTACTCTCAAACTCTGTTTCCAGTTGTATATTCTGGAAAACGTCACATTCACTAACTCTGTAGGATCCATCCTTATTTTAGTTGAATGCAAGCATATCATAATTTATGATCTCTGAGTGTATTTCCTCTTTGTTTCTCTGTTCTATCTCTACTGGTGTTTTTGTTTTTACTTCTAAAGCTCTGTGTCTTGTTTCTGTTCGTTTGATGGGAAGAATGAAATGTTGATTCTTTGCTTTAGACAGGTCATGAGTTGGTGTATGTTTTGTTTTTGTCTGTTGCCAGTAATAAGCTGAAAAAAGCAACCATTTCCTAGATTTACGGGTAGTGTCAATTGGGAGGGGCCTGTCCACTGGTGTCAAAAATTTTGGAACAGTCATATAGTCGTCAACAAGAAAAAGGAGTTCCTAGAATTGATATGCAATGTTCAGGTTTGTCATGTTCAAAGTTATAAAATGACAATGCCATTATCATCTATTTAAAAGTGGATTGGACGATTTTTGAAAATTTAACTATGGTGGTTTTTTACACCTTGAAATCCACTTTTCCTGTGTAAGGTGTTGAGAGAGGTTTTTTTTTTCGATTTACACATTCTCAAAGCACTTATTCTGATTATCACATTAGTAAAATAACAGTTGCAGCCCTGTTGAAGTGGTTTTGCAATTTTTTGTCACTGCACTACAATGTGTTATTGCAGTAGTTTAACTTGTGGTCTAAAATGTTTTTTTTTTTTCACATGTTCTCTGTCATTTGACATTCAGAGTTATTTTTTTCCCCAAACTGTGGCAGAGAGGCCAAATGTGGTGTGATATGATTTCTGCTTTGTACAAGTGTAAGACCAAAAAATGTTGTTTAATTATAAAGCTGTGTTTTAGGGTTCAGTTCAATATCTCATTTAGGTGTTGTAAGGTCAAACCTACTAAAAGTAAAGTAAAATGTAGTTAAAAATACCGTAAATCCTCTATTAATTAAGTGCTCCCTATAATGAGCCCCCCCTTTTTAGGGGAAGAAATGCTGATTTGCTAATGCTTGCCAACAGTAGGATGGCAGTCTATCAGTACCGTAAATGCTCGAATTAGCACCTGGGGTGCTTATTTAATTTTCTAAGGCGAGAGGGGGGCACTAATTCGAAGGGGGGCGCTTATTTCGTTTATCAATTTTTAACCTCAAAATGAGACTATCTGTATTTCTATTTGAAACCAAACTGCAACATAAAAATTCAAAAACCTTATAGAAAACTACTTTTTGCAAACTCGAAACGTTCTTAAGACTTTTTCATTAACAATGTCACATTTCATTAAAAGAACCGTATAGACCGTATACGTCTCGTGTATCGTACCGAGTGCCGAAACTCATTTTTTCTCGTGGGAGAAGGGGAGGCGCTTATTTGAAGGGGGCGCTTATTACAAATTTTGCGCCTTAGGAGGGGCACTAATTCAAAGCGGGGTGCTTATTTGAAGCTGGGCGCTAATTCGAGCATTTATGGTATTTTCAAATTGTTTGGTACTGCGTGGTCTACATATGTTTCTGGCATTCGTCTCTAGGGAAAGATAGCTGGATGCTTACATTGTATTAAATAATAATAATAATAATAGCAATAATAACAACTGAGCTTAACTCTTATTAAATTCATCTTGGTTATTTGTACTCTTAATTCATGACCTAAGTGTCTGAATGATAAAGCATAAGTATATTTAAAAAGTAAACTAGAGGAAATTTGATGTTGATCCCTTTAAGAGATTCTAAAAGAAGTTTAAATTCAGGGCTTTAAGTTTTTATTAAAGTAAGCCCATGACAGACATAGCCTGCATAAACATTTATGTCTAGTGAACATATTGATTGCAACACAAGTACTCTACATGCATGTAGAGCAGTTGGTGAATAAACAGTTAGTTTAAAGAAGCTGTGGTTCTGTGTCAGTACAGGAGTGAATTGTTTCTCTCTGATGAAGGTTTTAAATGCCCAAAGCATCAACCTTTGAATCACTTTGTCACCACTTTTGGTTATGAACTTAACAGATAAAAAATGACTCTTTCTACCAAGCAGGTTTTGATTTTTAAATCTGTCCTGAAGTCTTAAAGTCTACAGTGGAGATGTGATGCTGTTGTGCCTAAGAATTTAGCAGCATTTCATGTGCTTTAACATGGTCCACACTGTACATGTATTTTAGAAGTATTTATTTTTAAATTAATAGTATTTTAAGTCTTTTGGGTCCATTCTAGAAGTGAATGGGTTGCAATGTAGGTTTCTGTACAAAAATCAAAGGGGACACTTAAATGCCAAATAAATGTAACATAAGAAAGTTAAGTCATTTATCTCAACCAGTGGGTATTAAGTGATATTTTTAGGACAGTTAAGTACCCAAATGAGCCTATTTAATCTTATTTAAGACTAACTGCTTATTTTCTTAGCTGTAAATGATGTTATTGCTAAGTTTTTCTCCATACTAAGATGCGAATAGATGTTTACTACTGCGAAAGGTCACTTCTGAGGAGACCTTCAACTTGTATTATTTTTAGATGATGTCTGAAATATAGAAAGTTATATTGAAATCCAATTAGTTAATTGTTTACGTTTATGTACAGGAGATTTCCTTACGTACATTCAGGAAAACACAAATGTATACAGACTACAGGTTATCTCAAGTTAGAGATTGACTTTGTTGCCTTCTCTGGCACCCAGTCAGTCCTCAAAATAGATCCTCTTGGACTGCAGCCGTGATATTAGCTGACAGTCTGGATGGTTCTTGTTTTGAGCCACCCAGAACTAGACTAAATAGATATCAAACTAATATTTACTGGGTCGTTAAGGCATCATCACCTAAGGAATGGCAAAAAAAATTGAACCGTTTATTTGAATTAAATCTTTGAAGCCCATTCTCCTGAACTTTCCTTTAAAGACATGAAAGGGTAACTACAGAAGTGTTTAAGTAAATGCCTACGTGATTATGCTGATTTGTGTTTATGGGTAATGGTTGCTTACAGTTGCTTTTATAATAGGCCTTTGTACCTTGTGCCCAGTACCTTGGCCTTTGAATAGAAAGCGAGGCTGGAGGTACATGTAACCTCATTTTTATCTCAAAGCTTCCTGTTTTTCACATGTAAATGATCATGATCACAGGCCTTGTTATCTTGAAAATAACCTGATTTGTTCATGACAAGCTGCCAGGAGACATGTTTGTAGCAATCACCATCGTCATCGCTAAAGCTCCCAAATATCTCTTGCCCTGATTTTTAAGCTCCTTTAGAAGTCCTCATAAGCCCTGGCCATACATTCCGTACATGTAAATGTGAGAATTGTAAAATTAAATTTTTTTTTTCAGTTCTTCCGCCAGTTCTTGTTCCACGAGTGCCAATTGATAGACCCATAGAAAGACCAGCATTACCAGACCACTTCAGACCAGACAACACTCCCTTTCCCATTTCAGAACCAACCAATTCTCCTTTCCAGCTGCCTGGTAGGTAAAATCCTCCCTTTTGTGGTAATTTTATTTTAGTGGTACTCTTCTGTGTGCAAAGTGCACTCAGTGGAGCACCAATGGTAAGAAATAATGGTTATCGATACATCCTATAACTTTTGGTTGTGACCTCTGTCCATTTGTCCACCTTTTTATGTTAGTGGATGTGGAATGTGCTCAGAGTCTAAGGCATGTACAATCCGTGTTTAACTTGCTGTACTCCACTTGCACATCTCCCGTAAGGCACCTTTTTTGCCCCCTAAAATTTTGCATTCATTTCTCCTGGGTATTACAGCCACCCAAAGAGAAATTGGAAACAATGCTTAGGCAAATGTTTTGGGGAGGGGGGGGGGTAAGTGGTGTATTGGACTGTCGAAAAAAGTATCTGCTGACCAGTGTCACATGAGTGTATCATGGGCTTAGGTGTACAACTCATTGAGTTGACTTTTTTTTTTTTTTAAGTTTTCCACTGACCAGTTTTTAGGTTTTTAATTGATCACAAGCTCAGGTCCATTTTTCCGGAGGAATTCAGTTTGCTTGCTTCATTAGTACATTGCTTTAAATTGTGTACATAATTGAGGTTAAAAAATTGTAAAAATAATAAATACATGTAAGGAGGACACTGGGAACACTTTTGTGGGACTACTATTTCTTAGTGATCATCCAAATGAAAGGAAATACTGTTCAAAGAGGCCGTGTTGCAGCTGGCTAGTTCATTTGTTTTTAATGCAAATTAGGTGTCGTTATTCACTATGGAACTTTAGAAATTACTTGTAAATGAAAAAAGCACATTGCCTTTCTTAAATTATACCGTAAAAAACTGTACATAATTTTGAGGTTAAAAATTGTAAAAAAACTAATAAACAACTACATGTGCTTTGAAACATTTTTGGTGGAGGACACTAAGCAACTACAACAGGGAACATTGAACACTTTTGAATGAACTTTAGGGACTACTATTTCTTTCGTGAACAACGATCCAAATTGTTCAAAAATAGTTTTTGGAAACAAGGAATTTCGTTTTCTAATACTGTTCAAAGAGGCAGTTTTGTTACAGTCTTCACAAGTCCAGCATTTGTTTATTTGTTTTTAATGGTTACAAATTCTCCAGGTCCATTTTCATTTCAACTTCACTATGGAACTTTAGAAATTAAATTGATTAATGAAAAAAAGTTGATTAACTTATTTAAAATGTCACTGCAAATACACAACATTAAATTTCCTCAGGTTTATTTGTGAACATTTTGATGCTTCATCTTTTTACAAAAAGCGCATTTTTTTTTTTTTTTTTCAAAACCATGCTTTAAATTAAACATTAGAATAAACAAGAATCAACAAAAACGATTTTGAAAAAATGTTAGGCTAAAAAATGACTAATTGCAGTCCATTTCAATCTTCACCAAGTTTGTCCATCTGTGCCACGTTTTGTATAATTTGCTGTGTTATATATTCCTTCTAGCAATGTTTTGATGTATTATTTTTATGTTTCACACAGTTAGGTCAGTAGTTCTGACTGTTTGCGTTTTGATAAATTTCTTGACACAGCTCCTCTAACTCATTTTATATTGTTTTCATGACCTGTCGGTTCTGAGAGTTATCAAGTAATTGGTATAATATATCACTCAAAGGTGTCTCATATTCTTTTTATTTATGTGAAGATACTCCAAATGGGGCAGGTGGATACATGTCTGAAGATCAGTGCTCTGAACTGTCTGGAGAACATCAGCAGATGCAGACAGGTCAGCTATTAGTTGTTAGTTTGAACCTCCAACCATATATTATTCTGTTAAGTAGGTACATGTACTGGCATTCAAGGTAGTTATGAAGTATGTGAGGGAGTGAAGCTTACACTAGGGACTTAAAGATCCAATGATGCGACGGCATTGAGAATGTTGCTTAAAAAGTGAATTACTGTTCTTATTTTGTTCTTATTGTCCTTGCAGATGCTTGTCCTCTATCTCCAGATCCATCGTTGGCAGGTATGACTATTGAAATGATTAAAAAGAGAAAACAAATTAAAGAGGCAAATAAAAATAGGCCTGTTAAGTACCTCTTAACAACTACATCGCTAAAATGGAGATTGGGTGCCTGGAGTATCCAGGGGCCAATAAATCACATGATCGATGTAGTGAGCTACTGGGCATGCGCATGCCAAAAGACCGCTGAGCTCAGGCACTTACATGTAAGGTGGTCTTAGTTGTTGACTCCTTTAAATTGCATTTAAATGCATTTATTGTGATACCCGGTAGCTCAAATTGTACAAACGACTCAGGCCACAGACGTGTAAGTTCTGTTGCTATGTGTATGTGATTTTGAGTGCTGTTTGTTTGTGCTCTCTTTGTTAGATGCTCAACCAGTTCAGTACACAGAACCTACTTACTGGTGCCAAATTTCCTATTACGAGATGAATACAAGAGTTGGTGAAATTTTTAATGCAGCCACGCCAAGTCTAACAGTTGATGGCTTTACTGATCCTTCAAGTGCGGACAGGTTTTGCCTTGGATTGTTGTCAAACATTAATCGAAACCCTCAGGTTGAGTTGACACGGAAACACATTGGAAAAGGTGTACGTCTTTATTACATTGGTGGGGAAGTCTTCGCAGAATGTTTAAGTGACAGTAGTATATTCGTTCAAAGTCCCAACTGCAATCAACGATATGGCTGGCATCCTGCCACTGTTTGTAAGATTCCTCCTGGTTGCAATCTGAAGATCTTTAATAACCAAGAATTTGCGCAGTTATTATCGCAATCTGTCAATCAAGGTTTTGAAGCAGTATATGCATTAACTCGTATGTGCACAATCAGGATGTCTTTTGTCAAAGGCTGGGGTGCGGAATATCGCAGACAAACTGTCACAAGCACGCCCTGTTGGATTGAGCTCCACCTTAATGGCCCTCTTCAGTGGTTAGATAAAGTCTTAACTCAAATGGGTTCCCCATCTGCTCATTGCTCATCAATGTCATGAAGAATATTGTAGTCACATATAATTGATTATCCATGCTGTATATGGAAAAGTAAGTTAGACTAATAGCTGAGTGCCTATAAATTTAATGTTTTAATACTAGGGTTAGATTTTTATTTTGGGTGATCTAATTAATTTTGCCTCTAACTGCTGACTGTGCGGTATGTTAGTATTCAATAGCTGATGTACAGTTACATTGTAAAGCTCTCCCATCATATTCATTCTGGGACAAAAGCTTATGTTGTAGGTATTATAGAGTGGTGATAGAACCTGTCATTAAACATAATTAAAATCATGCATTTAATGAAACAGTCAACTCTCTTGACAGTGGTCCAGGAAAGAATTCACAAAAAAATCCCATTTCTTTTGGTGAAAATCTAAGAAATAAATACTATAGCACTGTTTAAGAGTTCTGCCAAGAGGTTTCATTTCAAAACTAACACTGTAAGATTTTGTCTACAGAGCTTCAAAGTTTAGAGTGATAAATTATGACATTCTTAAGCAGTGAACGGCTTAATTGGCACCTTTATAAAAATAAAAATGTGAACTAGTTGCAAAGATGGACAGTTAAATTTCTGGTACCAATTGTGTCTACCAGAGAGTTGATTGTTAAATAACAAAATAATTCATTAAGATACAAGAAGACTAATCTTCTACAGGCTTCTTGCAAAGGCTGGACAGACTACAATAATTATTTTTATTACCATCGGTTGCATCTAAGCGTGTACACATGAGGAAAAAACATGACATGTTTTGCCGCCAAACATTCGAAGTTTGGAGTAGGCGGCTGTTGTCGACTTGATTTGTTTTTGCTCAACAAAATATTCTTTGCAACAATTTGTAGACATTAATAATAATTTCTGGAGGCAAGTGTGCTGTTTCTGAGCAAGAAATATGCCTGAAAGTTGAGAAAAATGGAATGTGAGCAGAATGTGCTGATCTAAAAAATATACACAATTTACCTTTGGTGCGTCAGTTTCCTGTAACAGCTGTCAAACTTCAAATGTTTGGCGGCAAAACACGTCATGTCTGGGACCCTAATAGGACATTTTTTTATCTCGTGTCCACGCTTTGATGCAACCGAGAAGCTATGATGAGAAAATGCCATATCCACTCGTATGGTGCTCATTTAATTGTGGTAGTTTTTAACGTGGCAGTCATTCAAGGGCATTGCATGTTGATATTACTGGAGCAGAACAACTGCAACATGGAAATGGAAGAAGGATTAATGTTACACATAGTTTTGACGTCACAGGTCTGCTTCATAACAATAGTATGTTAGCCACAGAATCAGGTGGCTGATGTGTTAGATTTGTAGGCTGTCCTGTCATGAGGTGTATGTACAATGTACCTTTACAGTCATCAAAGGGTCGGGTACTACAATGAAAATAGGTATTAGTCTGGCTTAGTTAACAACATATAGAAAGCTAGTCTCTGTAATTCCATAATAATAGTGTTAGTAGGCTAATTGGGGGAATCATGGCAAGAAACGTCTTTTTGTGCGAAACAAGTGAGTAAAGTGAAGGATTAAGCTGCTCATTTAAAACGTCCGCAAAAGATTGTTGGTTTCCTCTACAGAAACGAATTTTAATTAGATTGTCAATTAAGGGTCAGTTTATATGAATAACCGGGCTGGCCCGCTTTACTAGGCTGGCTCAGCTCATACCCGGTTAACCAGGCTGGCTCATCTCATATAAACAGGCCTTAACACTGACAACTCCACTGATTATCAACAGGTCCATAGAGATCTGTAATAGGAGTTTTTCCGGCTCTGTTCTAGCCTGCGTAGCTGACGGGATTGTTATTTAACGCGAGCAAAGTTTTGGCATAGGAACTGCGAAGCCGCCCAGAGATTGGATGGAGACGCTTTGAATTTTCTCGCGCCTTCGCCGCCAAAAACTCTCACACGCGCAAAAACAATTCCGCCAGCTACGCAGGCTAGCTCTGTTCACACTACACGCTTGCGCATTTTAAGTGTAGTTTGAGTATGGTATTGCCCAATAAATTAATCGAATTGTATTGCCCAGGTTATACACCAATACATTTTAAAGGTAGTGCGACTTTCGAATTGTAATTATAATTTTAAAGTGATTTTAGTACATTAGAGTCAGATTGTAAATAGGAACACAACGAAGTTAATGTAGTGTAATTGCGAAGAGTAACGCTCCGAGCTCGTCTCAGTAGGTATATTCACCGTTTTTATTTCTTGCTTCTAATACAGATTTTATTTTATTGTGTACAGTATTTCGAGATAATTTGGCTATCGAATGTACGTTACACCGACCTAATAGCATTAAATGTTGGTCGCCGGATATTTTAACTTTCTATTAAGAGGTGTGATCTTTCTGAAGTTGGAGCCCCTGCCATTGCTATTAGGGACCTTCAATTAAGCTTCGGTAAAACGGTCAACAAAAACGTGCAGCTTGTTTTGCAAAATTGCTGCAGAATGAGTTGAAAAGCGTTGTTGCGCGTTTCACCCACGTTCAAACCTGTTAACAACGTGTTGTATTACAAGACAGGCTTGATGTGGGTGGTTAAACGCGCAACATCGCTGTTCAATTCGTTTTGCAGCAATGTTGCAAGACAAGTTGCATGCTTTTTGCTACCCGTTTTTCCGTACCCTTAGCTACAACGACGGTGACGCAAATTTCCCTTCTTAAATGTTTGACCTGTTATTGAGAGTGTTTCTATTCAAAAGGAAGAAGATCACAACCCAGGGTCGAACCTGGACCTCGACCCCGGGCCCCGGGGGGTGGACTCCGCATACGAAAGGGGTGGGGATGCTCGTCGGAAATTTTGAATTAAATCCCTAAAGGAGATCAATCTGGGCGTGACCGCACCTTTTTTTGACCCCTAAAAGCGATCATTTTAAACGTTGATTACATGAATCGAGTGAATAAAACGAATTGAAAATATATAATTTATTAATATTTCTTCGAGTGCAACCCTAAAAGAGACTTTTACGGCTAAATATAATGGTGTTTTGCCCAGAACACCCTAAGCGAGACCAAAATCCGAAATTCACACCCCTAAGCGAGACGTCGAGCATCACCACCCCTTTTATATGCTGAGCCCCCCTCCGACTAGCCAACCAGGAATACCGCAAGAAGCAGGAGATGAGGTTGATTTTTAATATGGGACTGTGCTTCCTAGTGGACTTTTAATCGAGACTTTAGTTTCACTCACTCTTCGCTTGCGCGCTGTCACATGCGGCACACGCGCGAGTAAGCAATCGGGCACGTGAATTTAACAAAACTTTTAACGGTACATAGTCTTGTACCCTGAAGAAGGTAGCATTGCCGAAAGGTCGGTTAAGACTCTTCTCACGACATGAAGCTAACGTTTTTATTCATACTTGGCTGCTTCGCTTGATAACAATAACGTGGAAGTCGAAGAATAAAATTAAAAAAATAAAGTGCGCTTTATTTGAGTGTCAATTCATTTAGCACGAAAATACTAATTGACGACACTATTTTTACGTCCCCAACTGGAGACAGGACCGCCATTTTATGTGGTCATCCGACTCCATGCAAAGCCGTCTAGTCACTTGTAGTGCGAAGGGAGTACCGGAAGTCCCACTGTCTTAGCCAGACTGGCCAGGAAAGTGTACATGGTGCAATAGAATAACAATTAATGACAATTTTCCGTCTCTTCCAATTATTTTAGCTGGCAAAGGTGTCGTTGTATTTTTATTTTTCACATTCAAGTCTTTTCGATATGTAGCTAATGTATTTTATTTGAAAATTGAGGAATCCAGTTATTCTGCCTGAGCGCGACTGTTGTCTTGGAATCGCCAGACACGCCGCATGTCCACCCGCGCTCGTCTAAATTTGACGGGACCAATCAAAAACACGTTTTTTTTCCTGAAACCAATCAGAGACAGTCTTGTTCCAGGGTTCCCCAGAGCTCTTCCCTCCCTGGTCGTCATGCGCAGAAGAGCTCAGGGGTCGAGATTGTGAGCGACATGTGTCGCCGGTTCCGTTTCTGTTCATACTATAAGTACCCGATAGCTTTTCGTAGCTCTACGAAAAGCCATCCGGCCGGTATAGTGTGAACATAGCCTAACGGTATGAAACGAATTTTGAGCAGCAAGATTCAAGGCCAGGTTTAAGAGAATCAAGTACCGCAACAAACTTGACAAGAATGAGCGTCATGACGCGTTTTATTAACTAGCCTAAAATTCCCAAGTCGTATTCGTACTTGATGTCTTAGTTGCATTCAACTCTAGAGGCCTGGTTGACTGTACTTGGAGAACCCTTTCTGTGAACACCCTATAAGTTAAGAAAATTAAGGAAATTTTATGTATTTCAGTACGACACGGCGAGATACCGCAACCAAGATTCCGGGGAAAGAGCGTAGTTGCTCAGGTCCCCTGCTTTCCCGTTAGATCGTCGGAATCGAGCACCTTCCCTCTCGGGAAACCATCTTGTTGTTTTCAGGCAAATGTTTAAAGCCCCCCCGCCCCCCGCTGCAGTCGCCAGTACATTTGAAACCTAGATGGCCGACCATTAAACCGGTAAGCGCTCGGTCTCGCCGATTTAACGGGAAAACATGGGACTATGAACAGGCCTGTAAGGGTATCTTCGGGATTCGGATTTGAAAGTCCCACTGTCTCAGCCAGATGTCAGGAAAGTGGACGTGGAGTGCAATAGCATAACAGTTAATGAAAATTTTCCTCTCCTTCCCGAAAAAAAAAAACGCCTGATCGCGGGTTACCTTAAGACATTGATGGCTTTGCTGTCGTTCTTTCTTACGGCCACAGCCGAGTCTGCTCGCGCCAGAAACGTCCCCTAAATCCAGGCGTTCAGATAGTGTGGGACGGTGCAAAGAAAAGCGAGCGAAAAAAAAAAGAGGTGCTGAGAGCAAGAAGAGAGGGGGAAGAAACCCTCCTCTCTCCTTTTTCCTTTCTTCCGCTTTTTTTTCCTCTGCTCTCTTTGCACCACTCTCCACCGTCTGAACACTTGGAACAGGCTAGCGCCAGAACTAACGCAGCCATCCAGAAAGAATTTTTGTTTATTCTGCTACACAAAGAGCTGTAGAGATTACAGAATCAGTTAAAAACCCGACCGAGGTTGTTTAAAACCTTCACTGTGGGGCGTTAGAGGAAATGACAAAGGGTAGAGACCTAAGAGACTTTTTTCAATGAGAACACGAGTTGTGTATGAGTTTGACACACTTATCCAGGGAGCCCGGGATGCTAACTGTTCGATAGTCAGGCTAGAGATGTCAGTACGCACACGTACAGGACGACCCTGGTGCTCTTCCGTCGAATATTGAGATATAAAAAGCGATGTGTTTTATGGAATGGTCTTGGCATCTTAGGAGGCGATCTAAATCGACTTACATTTGTTAGCTTTTGTAGAAAATTAGTCTTTTTTTAACGTATGTTTTTTGGAAAGAAAAAAAAAAAGGGATCCGGGAATTTCAGAAGCGGTGATATAAACAAGTGCGGGGCAATTCGGGATCACGACCTCCCCCGGCCTTCCAGACCCTGTATGAACAGTTAAATTTTATCAACTTTGAACGATGAAATACATATCATTTTCTTCGCAGTGTCAGTTCCGTTTGGCCGTGCTCGCATTATTGGGACCTACTATGCATATGAAAAAAGGAAAAAAAATCATAAATAGTTAAAAAATGAAAGCATTCTTCTTCAAATAGGAACGTTATAATAGAGTTTTTAATATGGATAAAGCAATTTGATTATAACAAATTAGAGATGAGAAGATTCCTAGTCGTATAATCCCAATGAACATAAAATTTTTCTACCCCAAAAATCCGAAAATGTGCGACCCCGAGATTCTAGTAACTCTGTTGAAAATGCAACCCCAGTACGGTCAATCCAGTCGTTAAAATGCGACCCCATCCAGCGGCACATCCCCAGTAGCCTCTTATAAGGAAGTACCCCCCCGCCCCCTACTCCCGGCTGTATAGAGCGTCTGCGAATAACGGCACAATATCGTGTTTGAATCACGAAGAGTCGCAAGGACATGTGCCGGCGTTTTTGATTGGCTAGTTTCTTACCCAGTTTGTGATTAGTCCGATTTGAAATAAAGTATTGACAGGTCCAACATGACTCGTAGCTCGTGACAAGACAGAATGAGCTCGTGATAGTGTGAAACGTGACCTTAGAGTCAACTTGAACAACCAAAGGTTTTTCTGCTTTCTCTCTTATAGCGTTTTTATTATGCAGTGCATTGACTATTCTAAACTTTGACTGAGCAAATCTTATTATTTGCGCTTTAAGTCTATGAGGCTTGTTAGTTTCTTTGGTTGCCTCCGAAATACCTGGACGTGAATAACTACGTCCAGCAGTGTGTGTAGTTTTTTTAATGTCTGTGAATATCACGCAGTTCCTGATTTGTTTTGACGCTAGAACCAAGGCTGCTGCCTAAGAAAAATTTTAGGGAGCCCTTCGGGCTCCTAAAGTTTAAAGTTAGGAGCCCGAGCCACATTGTTAGGAGCCCAGTTTGAAATCCATGTATTGTTTTTCCAAGATCATTACATAGGTTATAGAGGTTCTTGCACACTTTAATAAGAATTCGCCGGGCCTAATAAATAACACGTAAACAAGAATTAACCGAATTATTTACTTTCATTTATTAATTTATTCAATTAACTTCCACATCTGTTGTGTTCAATGTGACCTAGAAGAGCCTTCAAAGAATTTTCTAAAATGTAACAATTAAACTGCTTCTTACCTTTCTTATACACATTCATGAGCCGGAAAAATATTTGAGGGGCTTAATTTGCGTGTAAAAGGAATTTTCACAATTTTCACAATAAAAGAATAACATAACAGTAGGTAATTTCAACTCAGAATTATTTACTTGACTTTCACATTTGTTCAGTAACAGTTGTGTTCCACATGACAACTTAACTAGTCTTCCAAAAACTTTCTAAAGTAGACCAATCCTCTCCTTGCCTTTTTTATACATGAACAGGAAAAACAGAACAGAACATCAAGTGCCTTATGTAAACCTTAGCCTGGATGGATCTCATTAAATGAAGTGCTAAACATTTGAGGAATCATTTAAATTGAATAACATTCAATACAATTCAATGTACCATTTCATTAGTCAAAGAAAATTTGCATGAATTTGCGAGGCAATCACAGACAGCTACCTAGCTGATCTGCTATTTCGTTTAGAAGGTCAAGAATGTCAAGTTGTCACTACGGATTAAATAAAACCGCATTGAATATAGGTCAAATGAAGGCACAGCATCTTCGGTTGTGTTTTAAAAGCGGGAAATATATTTTATTGTTTTGAAAGAGACAGTTTCCAAATCGTTATCTATATTAATATAAATGTTCACATACGGAGTCGTAAGAAATAAACATTGCTTACCTGTTGCGAGAATTCCATTGTAGTCACTGGGCTTAAGACAAATTGCTGAAACCTTTGTCGATTTTAGCGAGAAAAGAAGAACCTTTGCCGATTTTAGCGGGAAAAGCAGAACCTTTGCCGATTTTAGCGGGAAAGGGCGCTAAGCACGTGCAGCAAGGCAGAAATACAACCAACACAAAGTTGATCATTACTTTAATTTCTTTATTCAAGGTAAAGACATCACATTACAAATATGAAATATCATACTGCGTTCTCTGGCGTGTTGTTTTTAAAGTCTCTTGAAAATGCTGATACGTTGCAAACTGGTACATGAAATCGAACATCAAGCACGTCCAGTCGATAGCACGCAAGATAGCTTCCCATTCTCGCCACAAAAAGTTATCAAATCGACGAAAACCCAAGCAAACGATGAACTGCACGAATGTCAACATAGGCAACAAACAGCCCATAATTTTGCTATTCCATATTTGAAGTCAAATCTCAGACCCAGTCTTCAACTGCCATCCGGACTCGGAAACGATGGCTTCGTTCGTTTCGACAAAGCTTCACAGTTGAACACGTTAGGTTTACATAATTTACGGTTTATTTGTGGAAATTTTATACTGCCTAATCGCATCATCGCTAACCATATCAACAGTTCCACTGTTTAAAGTCCTACTCCAGCTAAAGGAATATAATGTACAAGGAGGTTAAGTCTAATGCCGTGTGTTAAGTCAGGCGCCCGCGCGGGCTCCTTGTACCGAAATTTGGTCGCCCATGCTCTTACCTTGGGCGCCTCTGGCGACCGGGCGCCCGTTAGGCAGCAGCCTTGAGAACTGTCGTTTAGATTGCATTTTGCAGAATACGCGCAGTGCATCTGCAGCGACTGGACTGAAAACGCTGGAAAACCAGTCGGCAAATTTATAAACACATTTTGGCCTTGAAGGAATTCTCTCAAAACATTGTTTTTTGTCCAGGAAAAGGCTTTCAGGTTCGAACTGCTATTTCGTTGTTTACCGTAAACGCTCATTTTGACATGTCACTGCGCCCAACCGTCACGCACACGTAAGAATTGGGCCAATCGTGAGGCGCATAAGAAACCCGCCTATCAGAAACGCTCACATAATATTATATCCCTGCGACTATGCTGGAAAGAGCTAGTCTGCTACACAGCCGTTTTTAGTGTCGTCACGCAACGCAGGAGCGTTGCGTGATAACGCTAAAAACGGCTGTGGAAAGAGCCGGATCTGTGCAGTAATTCGAAGAGGGTCTATGAATGGTTTAGACAATAAGCGGGCCGGCCGCAATGCAGGCTAATCCTGCTGTAATCACACGGGCACAGATTAACTTTGTTGTATTGGCAGTCATGAAATGCAGAATAAGGCTTTGACGTTGCAGAAATATAATACAGCGATAACTCTCTCCTCCACTGAGGCTTCCTTTCTTCTTTTCCCTCTAGCTCCCATCGTTCCCCGCGCGCTAACTTTTTTTCTTTTTCTTCAAGAAACGAAAGCAGTGATACAGTCGAAGCTCTCTTTGCGGCCTCTCTCGTAAGCGACCAGCTCTAGTTACGACCAGCTTTGTGGAACCCCGTTTGAGCTGTGACGACTTTTAAGTTTTAAAAAAACTTTGTAATGAAAAGCTCTCGTAATTAAGCGACCGCGACAACTTCTGGGATTACCCAACTGGACTAGTTTCCTCTGTTTTTTAACCGACCACTTCTACTTGCGACCACTTTTTCGAATTTCTGAAGTGTTCGCTTAAGCCGTCACCTCATCAGATTTAGCGGGGACTGGGTAAGAGGTAGGATCCGCTGATCAGCTCGCGTGCGGTTGCATCCCTCACTGCTTCCGACCTACTCGACGACAAAGAAAGGAAGGATTCGGATGGTATTGTTGAAGCAATGCTACCTAGATTTCGCCTAAAAAACGAAATCGGCAGTGGGACCTACGGAAAGGTCTATAAAGAGTCGTGGAACGGTGAGGTCGTTGCAGTAAAAATACTTCGAGATGGACTTTTCGACGCAAATGATACGCACGGCCATGTTCAAAAATTTCACGACGAGTGCAAAATTCTACAACGACTCAGCCATAAGAACGTTGTTCAACTGAAGGAGTTTATTATCACACACACTTCCCCTCCAGTGCTTATTACCGAACTTTTGGATTGCGATTTGGTGAAATACATTGGTAGCCTTCATCCATGCAAGATTCCATTTCCTGAAACAGTCTCGATCGCTTTAGATGTAGCCGAGGGGCTGGCTTATTTACACCAGCAAAATCCTCCGATAGTTCATCGAGATTTGGCAACTAAAAATGTGCTTCTGACCAGAAATAAGCAGGCTAAGATCGCTGACCTTGGGATCGCTAAATGTTTTTCTTTACAGCAAACTATGTACTCATCTCCAAACTGCGGAACTCCAGCATACGCTGCACCAGAGACATTCTCAACAAAACAAGCTCAAAAGGTCGTCTACGGCGTCAAGATCGATATTTTTTCCTTTGGAGTTATGCTGATGGAAGTTGTAAACAGCAGCCGTCCAAAGATGGAACCCGGTTGGCTTTTTGATAAAGGTTTGTATATATTTTTTTGTATCCAAGTAAGCATTCGTCAAAATGAAAGACGATTCAGACGCCGATCTTTGCATGAGCCGAACCTAATTCGAATTAAGGCCGACCCAAATTATTTAGACCGGCTGATTTGATTCAGACGCCGATCTTAATTGCAGCTGAATTAAGTTTAAAAGGCGAAAAATGCTGATTAAAGTCAAACCACTTACAAAATACGTTGTAATAATTTATGCATTAGGTTCGGTACATGATAAGTTCGGCGTCTGAATCAAAGCCGTTCCAAAGTCGCTCCAAAGGCGAAATTCTCGGCCAGGCTAGGCAAAAAGAACGGCTGAGCCGTTCCGAATTGAATCAGGCCTTCCTAACTGATTCAGACGCCGAACTTTTCATCTACTTAATTCAATTTGTTAGGTTCGGCTCATGAAAGGTTCGGCGTCTGACCAGGCCGTAGCCTCCCACGCAGATGTTCTTTTTTCTAGTCAGGCAATCCTCCCTAACGCATGACGAAGCCCAAAAGAGAGTCTGCATGGGAGGCTAGATTGGAGAGGAAGTGTTGTGTTATTCGGTGATACAGTGGGTCGAGTTGTTCGTTGTAACGAACGTTATTTTTCGTTTCGGTAAAATTCGTGCAAAAGAAGTTTGATATAATGGAAGTCTATCATGGTGAATATACAGTCAAACTACACTGAGGGGGTTATAGAACGTGTTCCTATTTACGAAGCAGAAAGAAACAGAAACAGTTCTCTGGTCACTATACAAGCTAAAAATGTCTATTGAGAAATGGAAAATCTGGAACGGCTCTATAAAATGGGTAATCTCTGAAAGGGGGAATCTCTAAAAAGGGTAACCTCCCACTCTGACTTTCTTTTATGTGATAAGCCAAAAAAAGGCTATAAAAAGGGGGAAATCTCTAAGTTAAGAATCTCTAAAACAAAGAACCACGATGTGGATGTGCTACCTCCAAATCGTTATTTATTTTATTTATAATGTAAGTTCCGATCAGGCCTCAGTTGTTTAAAAAGTTGATGTCGTGTCTTTACGGATTTAACCAAGGGTGATTTGTATTGAACCAGGATTCAACCACTAACACACACCATTGCTAAGTCGTGCACACGTGTGTATTAAAATCATCATAACAGTCAGAGTGCATGGTCGATTATACAAACATGGGGGTGGGGCCAGGAGACCTAAACATTTACATATCCTACGGGGGATGATGCTATCCAAACACTGGATAAATCTCTATCCAGTGAATAATGTAATTGGTTTTCCTAATATTTGTTCGCTGGATAGTGATTTATCCGGTGAATAACACTTTTCAACGTTTGAACAACTGGAGCCTGATCTCAGTTGGTGTTCAATACTATTGTTCTTGCTAGCTAGCCAATCAGAGAGCGGCTTTGAATGACCGGGCCGAGGAAGACAAATACTTACTGCAATAGGCCTTTTGCATTAGTTGATCGGGTGATCAACTTTTGGTAAACACGAAAACACTCGCTTTTGGAAAATTTTGATAGCACGAGCTGAAAGAGCATGTTAAAATTAGATATCCTGTAAATTTTTAGCCGTATATCTAAAAAGTAGCGATTGCAACGGCCGCCGAAAATTAGAAGGATTTGTATGAGAGAAACGACTTTTGCCACCCAGTCACACTTGGATGGTTTTCCATACAAATCCTTGTAAATATCGCAATTTTCAAACTGTCGTGAAATATTTCCTCAAGCTTTAGGTGGTTCAAATCTCCTTTTAATTCATAACAGGCACTTCGAGCCCTAAAATGAGTAAGGAAAGATTTAACGACAGTTTAAAAATTTCAGAATTTACAAGGAGTTGTATGGAAAACCACTCTAGCGTGACTGGGTGGCAAGACTTATTTTTGTCATACAAATCATTCTAATTTTCGGCGGCCGTTGTAGTCGCTACTTTTGAGATCTACGGCTGAAAATTTACATGTCTCCTAATATGAATATGCTCTTTGAAATCGTGCTAACAACTAATGCAAAAGGCCTGTTCTTAAGGGATCGTATTATTAAACTACCCAGTCAATATTTCTAAAACTTATGAAATCAACGATGAAATATACGATGATACGTCTTTTGCATTCGTAAATGGTTAGAGAATTATGAAGAACTCAACCAGCCAATTAACTTTATCTATAGTTATAGCGGGGCTCCCTTGCGCGTGGGACAGAGCCCTATACTAATAGAATATGGTCAACCTCTTTAACTTTTCGTTTGGTTGTCACGTGACTGACTGAGCGTACGTACGCGTCAACAGATTGTACGGGTAGGGTGGGGGATACTATCAAAAGGAAGGGAGGGGTGTCTTTACATTGGCCATTCACAATATGGTCAATTGACAGCTGTCAAAACAGGATAGCCACTGACCAGTATCACATCGCCATATCGAGAGCTCATGTGTCAACTCATCAAGGTGACGTAATTTATTTCGAAGCTGTCCGCGGACCAGTTGTTTTACTAGATCGCGATCAATGTTCAATCTCATACTTTGTAGCTAGTTTGAGAGCACAGGAAAACTGATAATGCACGCATCCATTGGACATCAATGTTGTGATCAATTGACAGCTGTCAAAACAGGGTATCCGCTGACCAGTATCACTTGACCGTATCGCGGGCTCAGGTTTTGACCCATCGAGGTCAAGTATTTTTTGAAGTTATCCGCTGACAAGTTACTAGCTTTCAAATGATCGCAGGCTCATGTTTGATTTTTTTTATTCATATGAAATATGTTTTGTTTTTGTGCTGCACAATTAAAATTTTGATTTAAAACTGACCTCGGACCCGAAAATTCAACCAGCGATTACAGGGAAGACTGTTGCTTTTGACTTTGCTTACCATGGTCACGCAATGGTCACGTTCTACGTCCATTTTTAAGCTCTGATTGGTCAAAATTTGACAGGTGAGCTCATGCGGAAAATTTATGCAGCATCTTGAATCTTGTTTACTTTGACAGCTGAAGCTGACAGAGTTTTGTGTCAACTTGTGATGTTTTTAACTGTCTTTTTCCACTGGATGCACAAAATGAAATGCAGCTGCTATCAGGAGTCTTCTGTTATTCATGGCTAGTTGGTTTTTGGTTGAGAAATTAATACATCTCTTGTCAAAGTCGGAAATCCGATTTCCGATGGCATCGTTTTCGTTTTTCACCTTGCTTGATGCGTAAAGGTTGAAAGTCTGAAGCGATACTGGCCTTACTCGATAGTAATTACCTTCCAGAAGCTGCATCTCGAATGGTAAGCCTCAGTAATTATTGTGTTTGATGTTTGTTTTTTTATATCTAATTTAATGAAGTCGAGCGTAGTTTATGCGGCTATGTAGTTTATGCACGTTTGTAAGATTAGAGACAATATGATCTGACCAAGAATCAGGTTTGATATAAGCTTATACAACTTTAAAAAGCCTTTAGACATTTTCTCACCGCAAGTAGAAAGAAAACGTTCCAAAGAACATTTAGTTATAATTCTGGCTGCAAAAGAAAGCTTTGAGAGATTTTCTTGCCCCGAGTTCACCTTTGAAAATAGTAAATACCGGGAAGCCGGCTTTAAACAAAAACTTAACCTTTAAGCTTGAAGACTCGGGATTTTTAGAGACACTTTAATACTTGTCTTCGTGAATGAAAAATGTTGTATATGTTTCACCGAATTATATTTGTTCTATTGATTGTTGGCAGTCTCTCTTGTAATTTTAATCGCTGTGCCGTTTGTTTTCAGTCGTTCAGTGAACATCGCTTGCAGGAGTACTCAAAATGCCGCGCGTATCAAACGCTCTTAAAAGTCACTTGAATGTGCTATGTGCTATGTGCTCTAAAGTTAACTGAATTGTGGAATACAAGTTTATTGTTTGATTTAAATTATAAATATATTAATGGGAGCCTCGCTTTTAGTCCTGGCTAAATCTGTATATTAGCTGACAATTAACCAAAAACGGCCGATTACAAATCTCGTATACACCGTATTCACAAATGGCGGACACGCGGGAAAAAACTGGTGCCTAGTCATGAAAGCGAGGCGTTGGAGAGTAAACAAAAATTGCAAATGAAGACTTTCAGTGAACTTGCAGAGTGTTTAGCACGGATTCCACCTAAAATAACTTTGTATGGACGTCTTTTTAAATACAATGACGTGGGACGTCTTCTGCTTTTAATGTTTAGTACTGATTTGCTGTTTGCAATCAAAAGGGACGCGTATATCTTCAAGGAAACAGGATGATTTTGTAGGTTGCCGAAGCCTCAGAAGCTCGACAAGTGGGTGATGGCTAGAGAAAAGCGGCAAACATGTTGGCCCAAACTTCATGCTGAAACCGAATGCGAAAGCCAGCTCACTGCAACTCTGTAAAACAGAAGTAAAAACAGATATTGGTGGCAAGAAAAAAAGAAATAAGCGACGGATATATGGCCTACTTGTCAACGGAAGAGACCTCCGCCATTACTCAAAACAGGTCAAGTCGAGAGCGGGTGAAAGATTCATTTACGAAACTCATTCATTCATGTCAGTGTCATTTTACACATATCTATGTATGTCTGTATTTACAACTTCCTTTGGATGATATTAATTCCGTCGCTTTGGAGTGAATTGTTAGAGGTACGTTGGCAGAGCTTAGCAAATTCAGTGCAAATTTAAAATCTTTTGATTTCTTTGTCATTGCGAAATAAAATAATTTTATCAACACTAGAAGCCCTAGTGTGTGAATCTTATGGCTTGCTATTTGCCTGGTCTCCTTTACGGCATTATCTCGGAGAGCTCTTGGTAAAAAAGTGGTATAAAGCTCACATTTTACTAGGTTAAACTTTTAAGGCAATGTTTTTGTCAGGACTGAACACAGCAAGCTTCTGTTTCGAATCATTAAATGCGAGTCTGGATCCGTTTAAGAAGACCTTCATTTTATTTATTTATGTATTCTTCACTTTTAAAATATTATGGACCATGAAGTTAAAACTCTTAACAGCCAAAGATAAGAAATAGGAAAATTACTCGCTGAAATGAAATGTGGCCGGCTTACCGAGTCCGCCGAGTAACAAGTTGAAATTTTGAGCGTACTCCACTCGATCGCTCCTGCATTTACACCAAAAAGATAGTTCTAATTGATGTCCTTCACCGATAAAGACCAGAGAATAACGTCCTGGCAAATAAACACCAAACATAACTTCATCGAAACCTCAGTCACCGCTTCTTTCCTGTCTTCCTTTTTTCCATCTCGATTTGAACTGTTTTGTTCAATGGCGCACGTCTCTTGCGTGAACAAGTAGGCCATATATCCATCGCGTATTTCTTTTTTTCTTGCCACCAAGATTTGCATTGTTTATATTTCTGTTTTACCGAATTGCAGTGAGCTGGCTTTCGAACTCGGTTTCAATGTGAAGTCTGGGCCAACATGTTTGCCGCTTTTCTCCAGCTATCGCCCACTTGTCGATCTTCTGATGCTTCGGAAACCTACAAAATCATCCTGTTTCCTTGAAGATATACGCGTCGCTTTTGATTGCAAACAGCAAATCAATACTAAACATTAATAGCAGAAGACATTCCACGTAATTGTATTTAAAAAGAGGTCCGTACAAAGTTATTTTAGGTGGAATCCGTGCTAAACACTCTGCAAGTTCACTGAAAGTCTTCATTTGCAATTTTTGTTTACCCTCCAACGCCTCGCTTTCATGACTAGGCACCAGTTTTTTCCCGCGTGTCCGCCATTTGTGAATACGGTGTATGGTCGTCGTAATTCATTTCAGCTGCTTCTATTTCTACGCTGTCAAAAACATTTTCTTAGTGTTTCAACTTTAATAAAAATTCGTGTCGCCTGGTACTGCTCAAAGCAAGAACCATAATGTCAAAGCTTTGTTTTCTGGGTTATTCTGCACCGTAGCTGAATTCCTTGCGTCCGAGCTCTCCTGAAGAAGGGTGGGTCGGAGGTCTCCCTTCTTAGGCCCCCATGCTCGCATCAATCCATTTCGGAACCCTATGGTTTCTCGTCCTCAACACGAGTAAAGATTAGTTGAGTACGCATCTGATTTTTCTTTTTAAATAACAGATGGTCAACGTATTCCAGAAAAAGTGCGCCGCAAAGGGGACATCGATAAGTTGGGTGACCACAAATTGAGCAAACTCGTGCTAAATTGTATTGAAGACCACAGCGACAAGAGGCCAAATGCGGTGGAAGTTGTCAACTGTCTTCAAAGAGAGCTGTCAAAACTTCAGAAAAAGGAGCAAATTTTTCGACGACCAAAGCCTTGCTTGTGTCCAAGGTTAAGAGTTGTTGCCCTTGGAGCGTCTGGTACTGGAAAGACTTGTATTATCAATCGATTTGTATATGGCAGCAACGCTCAGAAAGAGTGCAGTACCGAAGTCGCTACCATTGGCGAACAATTCTATCACAAAAACATCAGTTTGGGTGATAAGGACTACCGTTTGGAGATTATTGACACCGCGGGACAACAAAAGTTTTATAGTACTTCTCATATGCTCGTACGGAACGTGGAAGGCATCTTGCTCGTGTTCGACATACATAGAAGGGATTCTTTGCTAGAAGGCATCCCAAAGATGCTAAAGCTCCTTGACGCTGCGAAAGCCGATGCCACCGGAATTATTTTGGTTGGAAACAAAGTTGACTTAAAATCTCGTGAGGTTACCAGTTCAGAGGCAGAGCAATATGCTAGAAAACTTGGAGTGCAATATATCGAAACGAGCGCAAAAACTGGCGAAAATGTCCAAAAATTGTTTGAAGAGATGACAAGAGAGATCTACGAGACTCTAGACTTGTCAGACATGGACGTTTTCGTTCCAAGTGCAGGTGACATTCGTATACATCTTGAAGATGATGCACCTCGTAATCAAAACATCTGTGAAAAAATGCGTAACTGGATGTGTGGGTGAGCAAAGACACGAGCTAGCCATAATTAGCAACTACAGTAGAACCGCGATAACTCGAACTCTCTGTTAACTTGAACTAAGTCCAATTTTCCTTGGATTTCACCCCACTTTTCAGTCATTTTTACTCGGTTAACTCGAACTCCTGGAAGACCCCGCTAACTCAAACTAAAGTCATTTCCCTTGGTAAAAAAAATTCACTGACAACTGAGAAACCAGGTTTTTCTAAGACTAAAATTCAAATGTAAACGAGAGGGGCACGAGAAAGAGCGGAAAAAATGGGACCCTCTAAAAGAAAAGGACCGCTACGCAACCTATGGCGTTCTGCATAGCTGCTGGCGTTTTCATCCGACTCCGTTTCCTCTCTCCTCTCATTTGCTCCTTCTCCATCCTCGGAGACCCAGGGGAAGATAGTGGGGGCGAGGAAAAGTATAAACGGGCGGAAAAATGAGGCACGAAAGAAAGGAAAGAACGGCGAGAAGAGCCCCTGGGGACAATGTCTTACCAGACCAGTTCCAAACGGTCGCCGCCGTTCTGGCTTCCGCTTGGTGCCAGAAAACTTGTGTTTTTTTTTACGCAATTTACAGCTAATGACACAGCAGGAGAATTGTAAGAGGTCAGCCAAAATACGTGACTATTCTTTTGCAGCTAATAATCATCAAAATGGGAGGATTGTGAAACAACAACAACAACAAATTTTTTTGAAAATTGGAAATATAACTAATTCACATTACTTTCCCACCCGCAAATAGCTTATAAACTAATCGAGGCGGGGGGAGCTGAAGACATAATACAAGTATAAGGTTTATCTATAGATGAACCGAAATAACAGTGAAGACACTACTATACAGTAAATAGCATAAACTGACATAAAACAAGGCAAGTACATAATGATTACGAAGAGAGGCTAACCTCAGGCATAATGTAATACACGAAACAAGAGAACGAAACAAATAGATGAAAGCAAAAGGAACAATTAAACATCAGAAATTTACGAAAGGTGGAAAATGTTACGGGGAGCACTCAAACACACGTCCGTCCATCTTAGCCACATCACGTGACCACCCTCATGAAAGCGGTTAATCTTAGTACAAAAGAAGAGGCATATTATAAAAGTATTTATGCAGCACAGCAAAAAAATTGGTATTAGTATTAGTATTATTAAAATGGTTTGTGAAGGATTGAATAATTGTAAAACTAGTATTTCAAAGAAAGATGACCAGCGCTATACATTTGAATATTGTTAAAATAAACTGGCCTTATGATAACCCTGGTTTTCTTTTAAAATAGGGCAACCAATAATATGAATTGTTAGTTGCCCTATGTGGGACAATAAAGATAGACGATTAGAAAGCCAACCAGAGAGAAGCAGTGGCCCAATTTCTGGTTTATTGCAGCAAGAAGCGAATTGCCCTATGGCTGCCCCAAGAAAAAATCTATAGTAATAATATGAAGGACAATCGTAATTCACTTATCAAAGGACTGCTTTCTGGAATTACAAATGAAGAACTTGAAAATTTGGTGCGAGTTCGTGACCAAGCAAGAAGCCCTATCCCCAGTATGAAAGGCGGAGAAGTAAGACGCCCTATTCCCACTCCACGAAAAACAAAAAAATGCGCCATATAGGCCTATACCACTTCCTAGAAGGTAATGTTCAATTATATAAGCCTAAACCAGCTCCCAGAAAAAAGAAAGAGCAGCCAGTAGCAGCACCAAAGACAAAAATTGGTGAAAAACGGAGGGCTCTGAAGGGTTTTACCAAATCATATGACATGAATTTTCCACGGCTGACCATTATTTACAAATAATAAAAAAAGTGATGAATTTGCTCTAAATAATTTTTTTACAAACGGCGCCCCATAGATTTCAGACCAAAAAATGTAATTTTCCAAACCCGTTTTCAGACCTAACCTTTAGAGAGAAATTATGTTATCATTACTTAGATTAGAGCGCAAACAAACAAACGCATCCAATCCATTTCGAATTCGCATATTTCGCTTTCTTTCTTACTCATTTGGAATTGAAACGATCAATACCTTCATACACTCTCGTAGTTCCCCCGAAAACCATACCCGATTCCAGACCAAAATGGGCAAAGTTTATACCCGTTTTCAGACCAAAACGGCGCAAAAACCCTACCCGATGGGGCGGCACATTCCTATATAGCTTGTATAAGGGAGTGCTCCCCTCTAACGGGTCTCTCCTCCACTGAAGCTTCCTTTCCTCTTTTCCCTCTTGCTACCATCGCTTCCCGCGCGCTAACTTTTTCTTTTTCTCTAAGCGAAGGAGAAAGCAGTGATACAGTCGAAGCTCTCCTTTCGACCAATCTCGTAAGCGACCAGCTCTAGTTACGACCACCATTGTGAAATCTCGTTTGAGACGTTTGAGTTGTGACGACTCTTAAGTTTAAAAACTTTGTAATGAAAGGCTCTCGTAAGCGACCGTGACAACTTTTGGGATTACCTAACTGGACTAGTTTCCTCGGTTTTTTAAGCGACCACTTTTTCGAATTTCTGAGGTGTTCGCTTACGAGAGCTTCGACTGTAATTTATCACATCACCAATCAAAAGCCGTATCTCACCAGAATTAGCCTTGGGGTCTGGGTAAGAGGTAGAATCCGCTGATCAGCTTGCGTGCGGTTGCATCCCTAAGTTATCCTGTGCTTCCGCATATAAACTTGACGACAAAGCAAGAAAGGATTCGGATGATATTGTTGAAGCAATGCTATCTAGATTTCGTCTCAAAAACGAAATCGGCAGTGGGAGCTTCGGAAAGGTGTATAAAGAGTCGTGGAACGGTGAGCTCGTTGCAGTAAAAATACTTCGAGATGGACTTTTCGACGCAAATGATACGCACGGCCATGTTCAAAAATTTCACGACGAGTGCAAAATTCTACAACGACTCCGTCACAAGAACGTAGTCCAACTGAAGGAGTTTATCATCACACACACTTCCCCTCCTATGCTTATTACCGAACTTTTGGATTGCGATTTGGTGAAATACATTGGTAGCCTTCATCCATGCAAGATTCCATTTCCTGAAACAGTCTCAATCGCTTTAGACGTAGCCGAGGGACTGGCTTATTTACACCGACAAAATCCTCCGATAGTTCATCGAGATTTGGCAACTAAAAATGTGCTTTTGACCAAAAATAAACAGGCTAAGATCGCTGACCTTGGAATCGCCAAATGTTTTTCTTTACAGCAAAAGATGTTTTCATCTCCAAACTGCGGAACTCCAGCATACGCTGCGCCAGAAACATTCTCAACAAAACAAGCTCAAAAGGTCGTCTACGGCGTCGAGATCGATATTTTTTCCTTTGGAGTTATGCTGATGGAAGTTGTAAACAGCAGCCGTCCAAAGATGGAACCCGATTGGCCTTTTGATAAAGGTTTGTATATATTTTTGTGTATCAAAGTAAAGGCCTACTCTGGGACCTTAACTCGCCGCGAGATTGTGCGAGCTAATGCGAGTTTAGGCGAGTTAAGGCGAGATAAGGAAAAATTGAGCTCACCTATCAGTTGCCAGTTAAGGCGAGATAAGGCGAGTCAAGGCGAGTTAAGGGTAAATGGTCAACCTAATGTTGAGGTGATAAGGGTTAACACATATATCATGCTTTAGTAACACACATATAAAGATGCCTTGTGCCTTGCAATCTTTGTATGTCTTATGTATATATACCTAACAGTCTCCATGTTGCCCAATTACAAAAAAAAATTCAACAAAAAATTTTAGATGAGCTCCAAAGTTGACTGAAGCCAAATCTTATTTAAAGTTAGTACCGGTAATTGAACATTTTTTCCTAATTGGGCGAGTGGAGTATGGAGTCCTTGCCCTGGTTGTTCAAGCGTTGGATCGCGCTATTCAACAAAATGATAAATCACTATACAGCGGATAAGTACTTGGAAAACTAATTGCACTATCCACTGGATAGAGATTGATCCGTTGGATAGCCTTTGAATAACCAAGGCTTGGTTTTTATTAATTATTATATAGCATTCAGATACCAAATTATACCATTTGGTGGCTGTATAATACTATTATTACTAATAAAAGTAGTCATCATCATATATTATTTATTATAGCTGCATGAATATTTGGCAGAAGGCAGAATAATAAACTAGTGAAAAAAGAAACTAATGTACACATAACAATCATGAATAGATGAGAAAATGTAATTGTAGTACAAACACAGATGGGATATTTAATTTTACTTATTTTTTTAATTCAATAACACTATGTTTTAATCAGACAGGTTAACATAATAGGTATCACATGATGGCATGAATTGTTATCATTAACTCCAGAATTATAAAAGAATAATGTTTTTTACAGTCTGAGTCAATGTTCTTCAAAGAACTAGTATAAAAAAACGGAGAAGCTTACGAATTACAGCTCAGATGTGGACATTTTGTATGCGCAATCAATTTTACTAAAATGACATGAAATTCTTTCTTCTTGAAAGTTATAAGACTTATCTTTAAGTCTCCCATTTGGCCCATTCTTTCCATTTCACTAATGGTTTCCTTTGGAATCCAGCCCAACTGTTTGGTTTCACTGCCAGAAACGAAAACACCAATTGCCTTTTCGTTTCCTCGGAATAAATCCATGCCATTTTAATCTCTTGCAAATGGAGATTGATGCCTTTTCATGAAGACAGCAGTTCCCGTATTTTAAAAAACTCCCTCCTTAAACTTGGACAATCCTGCTGGAGAAAAAGTGTTCACAGTTGTGCCGAGAGCTATATCTCATATAAGTTGATGAACAGAAATACTCTCCGCATTTGTGATGAATCTTCCCTGCTTCAAACATGGCCACCGCCTCAGCTGTTGTAATGTGTTTTGACGTCATGTACGTCACGTTGAAGCTTCCCACCTAAAACCTGCCAGTAGACTGGGCCCTGGGAGAGTTACCAGTATCTTCTGGGTAATTTTGAAAATGGCGAACGGAGTTGACTATCAATGCAAAAACGGGCTAAATGTAACAAGTCTTTATGATTCATGGCTTATGGTCGCCAGCTTGACTACAATGTAAGCCAAACAGGATGTCATGTGAAAGCAATACACAGATCTTCTAGTACCAGGTAACTTTATAATCAAGAAATATGGACTGCCATCAGTATGTGGAGTATTTGAAGGATTCTGGCTACATCCCAGACTTTCATTGTCAGCTAGAATTCTCATTAAGTTTCATCAGATTATAAGATGATAATTATACTGCTGCTTTTCATTATCATAAACAGCTTGCATACATTATACATTTGGAAAGTAATGTAGCTTAATTTTAAAATTTTCCACAACATCAAACTTTACTGTAAATCATTTATAGCTAGCTAACTTAAAAGAAAATATATATATATATATATATATATATTCTGTTATTACAGTTTTGTATTGTTATGTTACTTAATGTCACTTAATTTGTGGCCCAAAATAATAGCAATCAGTGTGGGTTTCTCTAGGCCCTGTGACATACCTCTGGAATTTCTGCCATGCTTTGCATTGTAGCCTTTTTGTTAGGTAAGAAGTTTGTGCATGTTCAGATTGTTTTCCTGGTAGTTCCATTGGCTGTCCATTAAGTACTAAGCAAGCCCTCATCAAATCTTAGTGGTGAAACACCCTTACCACAGAGGCTATTGGAAATTCCAGAAGGATGGGACTTACAAATCCCTATTATTTATAATTTTTGAAATCCCTCTTTTTTGGTGTCTTCTCTTTGTGGATTAATTGTGAAATTATCCTGAGAGTGGGATGACGTATTGGGCACGATCCATTCAACCAAAATTTTCGGAAATTTGGGTACAAAACTCAATGGATCGGTTCGGTCCAACTGGAAAAGTTTCGAAAAAACTGGTCCACCTTTCAGGTGGACCACTTCCAGTCGGACCAGTCTGAAGTCTGGTTAAATGGATCACGCCCATTGAAATTGGTATCCACTTGGCAGTGGCGAGAGTAGGCGAGTTTAGGCGAGATAAGGCGAGATAAGGAAATTTGCACATAATCGCAAGCGGCGAGTTAAGGCGAGTTAAGGCGAGTTTAGGTCCCAGAGTAGGCCTAAGTAAGCAGTCGTCAAAACGAAAGCAGGTATATGTTCTTTTTGCTGGTCACGCAATCCTCCCCAACGCGTGACGAAGCCCAAAACAGGGTAGTCGGCGTAGGAGGCTAGAATGCAGAGGAAGTGTTGCATTATTCGATGATACAGTGGGTCGAGTTGTTCGTTGTAACGAACGTTATTTTTCGTTTCGGTAAAATTTGTGCAATAGAACTTTGACATAACGCAGCCTATTATGGCGAATATACGGTCAAACCCAGTGACTACAGTTTGTAGGGACACGGAGGGGGTCATAGAACGTGTTTATATTTACGAAGAAGAAAGAAACAGAAGCAGTTCTCTGGGTACTATCACGTGCTCTGAGATGGTAAAACAAAACATACCAGCTAAAAAGGTCTATTGAAAAAGGGAAAAACCTGGAACAGTAAACAGGGATTCTCTAAAATGGGGAATCTCTGAAAGGGGCATTCTATAACGAATATAACCTTCCATTCCGACTTTCTTTTGTGTGATGAGTAAAAAAGAGGCTATAAAAAGGGGGAAATCTCTAAATTAAGAATCTCTAAAAGGGAGAGTTCCAGAAATGGGGATCCTCTAAAAGAGGGATTACCACAATGCCACATAATGTAAGTTGCCCCATTGTTCAGAAGTTGGATATGGTGTCTTACGGATTTAACCAAGGATGATCCGGATTTAACCAGGATTTAACCACTAACACATACTATCGCTAACTCGTGCTCACGTTTGCATTCAAATCATCATAACAGTCAGAGCGCATGCTTGATTATAAAAACATTGGGGTGGGAAAGGTAGACCTAATTGTTTACATATCCTACAGCGGATAATGCTATCCACTGGATAAATCTCTATCCAGTGAATAATGAAATTGGTTTCCCAAATATTTTTGCGCTGGATAGCCGCTGGATAGTGATTTATCCCGTGAATAGTACTTTCTAACGTTTGAACAGCCGGGGCCTGATCTGCAAGTTGGTGTTCAATACTACTAGCTAGCCAATCAGAGAGCCGCTTTGGATGACCGGGCTAAGGGAAACAAATACTTCCTGCAATTCTTAAGGAATCTTATTAAACTGCCTAGTCAATATTTCTCAAACTTATGAAATCAACTATGAAACGTCATCTACAGTTATAGCTGACAGTTAACCAAAAACGGCCGATTACAAATCTGGTATTGTTGTCGTAATTCACATCAGCTGCTTCTTTTTCTGCGCTGTCCAAAACATTTTCTTAGTGTTTCAACCTTAATGAAAGTTCGTGTCGCTTGGTACTGGTCAAAACTTCGTTTTTTAGTTATTCTGCACCGTAGCTGAATTCCTTGTGTCCGAGCTCTCCTGAAGAAGAGTGGGTCGGAGGTCTGCCTTCTTATAGTCAGGTCTCTTAAGGTCAGGATCGTTACAGAGTTGACAAAAGCACCAAACTTTGCACAGCAATAGCTTATTGCAGTACCATGAATATTGGAGGGGGTGCCCAATGCAAATATGCCACTGAAGCGTGCTAAACAGGATTTAATTATTGTAAATTTCACCTGCTGGGGTCCCTGTGGTGTTTTGATTGAAAATTGTTATTTAATACCCTAAATCATTAAGAATGCTCTTCCCATGTTGTAAACAACAATTTCACTCGAACATCTGGCATTCCCATCCAGTATTAGCTTACTGATTGTATAATTGAGTTGATTATTACTGTGCCCTAAAAGCAAGTCCACAGTCCTCCCACACTTTCATAAGTCATTGCTAAGATGGCCTCGTCTTTGCTTCATAACTTGTAAGTACTCAGCCTCTGGGGTTCTCTTCTCCTTTTCTAATGTATTTCAATTAGAGGAGGCCTTATTGTGTGGCTTAAGCCTTATTTATCACGTATTACTTGTCATTACATGTCACTTTAGGCTAAAGAAAGCGTATGGCATAGCGATTCACACACAAAATTTCAGAAAAGAAGAAATTGTCAAAGAGTCTGTTGCATCAAATATTACCAGGGATTTATGAAAGCTGTTCATAAAGAGCAAATAACGAAATGACAGAATCCAAAATAGTTCTTTCCTAAGGAGGTAATTAATTTTTCTGTTTAACATAGGCCTGGATACCTTTCAGTCTCTACTTTATCTGCTGGACGCACGTGCATGTTTTGATAGAGAAGCAAGCACCGTGGCACGAGTCATATCATTTACAATTCCCGCAGTTTGTCTAAGCTTTACAAAGCAAAATCAAACAAAAAGGAATCTGGTCTCATAAACGAAAAAAAGGAACAGGTTAGCCCAAGCTTCAAAAAACAGCACAATTTACCATGAAGCCTCTACATTTGGCCCTGAAGCACTCACGTCCAAAACAATAACAGCTTAAATCAAGTCGTAAAAGTGAGACGCAATTAAGTGGTACAAGATTGACTCAAATGATAAATGGTGAATGGTTTAACTGCTGAAACCATAGAAACGGGGCCGGGCTAACTTTTAGGGCCTGTTTACATGTAGGAGGGGGACCCCAGGTAGGCATGGTAACCCAGTTAGGTGGGGTAACCTGCCTGTCCATATAATCTCTCATTTTAATTTGATCACGTTTACATGATAGGTGGGGTGACCCTTCAAGGTGGGTAGCCCGGTCTGCCACACCGGGTAACCCTCTCAGCTGAGGTCAAATTTTGCCATGTCAACGTTTCAAGATGGGGTAACCCAGGCTAGTCGGGGTGGATTCGGGATACATCAAATTCGCAAAAATTTACTTTGGCGCCGGGTGGCTTCACACAATTATTAAAGGTAACAATAGAAAGCCACAACACTGAAGGCTGCAGCAAGAGCAGCAAGTGAGCGTAGACGTAGTTTGACAGCATTTTTCTTGTTTACGTGCTTAGCGACCATTCAATAATCTTGAGAAAGTGCACCCCAGGATATCGGGGTTGTAAGATTGCATGTAAAGGAGGGTTATTTTTTTACCCAACCTAAGCAGGTTACCTCACCTACCTGGGGTGCACCACCTTTATGTTAACGGGCCCTAAGTCTCAGGAACCGTGAAACTGGTAATAAACGGTATACCTAACCTAGGACTAGCTGTCATACTACTTTTATCTTCAAAAACGTCAGCATAGCAGCCAAAGGAGCCATTATATCGGTGTAACACGAATATTAGATTACGGTTGTTTCATGCGTCTCGTTTTGTGACTTTTTTGTGTTCGTTTTTGTCACCATCTAAATTTCAATCATGTTCAAAACACCCCGACTAACAAAATATTTCGTAAAGCTCTTTAGAATGATATTCAGCAATAAAAACAAGGTGTGACTAGGAGCCGATATCTAGGCTCCTGGTGTGGCAACATAGGCATAAGTGAATGCAAAGTTTTGCGGTATGTAATCTGTCAGAAATCTGTTTGAGTGGTCAAAGTTGGGGCTGATGGCTTCTTTATCTTGACCACTCCATTATTATGAGGGATCAGGCCATAATTATTATTGACCCTTGCTCTTTTTGGTATTTTCGGTAATTTTCCACAACATTATTTTGTGAAAAGTTGGTAACTGAATTGCTCTTGAGGAATTCATGATCGTAAGAATTCGTAACCACGGGGTATTTGCCTAATTGCATCAAACAATTTGCATTCATTTTCATAAATGATGCATCATTGGTTGGCTAAAAGAGGACTTGTTCCTGTAACTTTCAACTCTTCTGAAGTTAGTTTGTTTGTAAATTGTAACGTACGCGACGACCTTCCTTTTTTTGAAAGATCGTATAGTCCTACCATTAACACTCTGGTGCGAGGGCTCTGAAGTGAATGAGCTCCTTACAGGTGTCTAGGGACGCAGGGACCTCATACACTGCTTTTTAAATGCAAATGTGTAAAAAATTAAGAGTGCTGAAAATTCCTGGAGAGGAATGTTTTACAACCTCGTCCCCAGGGCTTAATAAAAAGGTAGAAAAAGGTAAACCGACCATATTTTACGTCAGTAACTCGTGACAGTAATAATAACTGATAAACTTGAGGTCGACGGTGCGCTCCTTTTACCCCCTCTCTCCATTAATGCTCCGTTTTAAGGGTATTTAAAACTAGTCAAAGCTACACAGAAAGGAGAGAAGTTGAAATAAGGATGTGTTGACACCAGGGATCGAACTCGGGACCTCACGCACCGAAGGCTGCGCACTAACCAACTATGCCACCCTTACTCCTCCTTTTCCCCCTGAGGATGACGTTGACATGTTTTAATCATTATCTCAAGGACAGGGTTACCAACGAAGCAGATTATAATCTAATCTTAGCTGCACAATTACAAAGTGGGCGAGCTGTCAGTTACGGTTCATGAGGTCGTTTATGAGGCATGTCAAAATTTAACGATTCTATCGCTTAGGATGTGATACATTTGGGTTTTATGTTATTGTATGACATCTTTGAAAGCTGGCTTCGTGATCTGTTTAAATTGATATGTAATGTTATTATCACTGGCAAGTCTTAGCAGTGACACTGATAGCCACACAGTGAACATGGCCAAACTTACCGTGTGGAGACTGGGCACTAGTCAGTATTATGTACACGTAAAACTATTTTGAATAGTGTAACAACAACTAAACATTACCAAATTAAAAACTTAAAAATTTGAAGCAAATGTTTTTAGCTAAATCAAACAAGAAAAGTTCTCACCACAGGGCACCCAATCTGCTAGTATAGGTGAAAGTTAACCCCCCCCCCCTTTTTATCTGTGATTAGGACCATTTGTAACGGGCACCCCCTCCAGTATTAATCGGCAGGTGCTAAGGAAGTTCTGTGCCAAATTTGACACTTTTGTCACGTCTGTAACGATCCGGCCTATATTTTGCACTAAGAGACCTGACTATTAGGGTCCCATGCTCGCATCAATCCATTTTCGTAAGCTACGGTTTCTCGTCCTCAACACGAGTAAAGATTGGTTGAGTTCGCATCTGATTTTTCTTTTTAAATAACAGATGGTCAACGTATTCCAGAAACAGTGCGCCGCAAAGGGGACATCAGTAAGATGGGTGACCACAAATTGAGCAAACTCGTGCTAAATTGTATTGAAGACCACAGCGACCGGAGGCCAAACGCCGAGGAAGTTGTCAACCGTCTTCAAAGAGAGCTGTCAAAACTTCATAAAAAGGAGGAAATTTTTCGACGATCAAAGCCTCACTCGCCTCCAAAGTTAAAAGTTATAGCCCTTGGAGCGTCTGGTACCGGAAAGACTTGTGTTATCAAGCGATTTGTGAACAGCAGCTACCCCCAGAATGTGTGCGAAACCGAAACCTATACCGTTGGACAAGAATTCTACTGGAAAGACATCAGTTTGGGTGGTAAGGACTACCGTTTGGAGATTACTGACACCGCTGGACAGGAAAAGTATCATAGTATTCCTAAAAGTCTCGCACGGAACGTAGAAGGCATCTTACTCGTGTTCGACATACAAATAAGAGACTCTTTGCTAGAAGGCATCCCAAAGATGCTAAAGCTCCTTGACGCTGACAAAGCCGATACCACGAGCATTATTTTGGTTGGAAACAAAGTTGATGCAAAAGTTCGTCAAGTTACCAGTTTAGAGGCAGAGCAATATGCTAGGAAACTTGGAGTGCATTACATCGAAACGAGCGCAAAAACTGGCGAAAACGTCCAAAAATTGTTTGAAGAGATGACAAGAGAGATCTATGAGACTCTGGACTTGTCAGACATAGACGTTTTCGTTCCAAGTGCAGGTGACGTTCGTATACATCTCCAAGATGATGCTCCTCGTAATAAAAACATCTGTGAAAAATTACGTGACTGGATGTGTGGGTGAGCAAAGACACGAGCTAGCCATAATTGGCCACTGCAGTTGAGTAGAACCCCGTTAACTCGAACTCCCCGCTAGCTCGATTTAAGTCCCATTTCCCTTGGATTTCACTCCGTTTTTCAGTCATTTTTACCCAGTTAACTGGAACTCGGATAACTCGAATTCCCGCTGACTGGAACTAAATGTCATTTCCCTTGATAGAAAATTCACTGAATTTGTACTGCACTATATACTGAAGTGCTGACAAAATAAATTTTTAATATGGTAAATTGAATTTTGCGATCGACCCCGCTAACTCGAACTGTTTTTAGTTCCCTTCAGAGATCGAGTTACCGGGGTTCTTTTTTTTTTTTTAAATTTTATTTCCCACACACAAACAATTACAGTACATTACATTTACAATTCATTACAGTTAACTGTTATCGTTTACAAAACAGAAATGAAAAGAAAAGGAAAGACAAAGTCCACAAAAATACTATAGTTTATATATTAACAATTAGGAGAAAGCTGCCTGCCTTATGGTCCTCCATCACCCATCATCCGCCCGTTTGTCACTTGCACTTTAATTAACTGTATTGGTCAAATTATATTCTGAGGGGCATTGTTTAAAAGTAGCCCATTTCTTCCTAAAAGAGGATAAGTTATTATTATCAAACGCAATCTGTTTCTCAATTTCCATGGAGCGGGGTTACCGGAGTTACTAAGGTTCTACTGTACTGAATGTGACTGATTAATGCTCACCTTATAGCTGCTGTAAATGCCGACCTTCAGCAGCAAAGACTCAGAAAATGGTTTGCTAAAAATTCATTGCTTTTTAAAACGCTGATAAGCCGAAGTTACTTGTTATTAGCCTACCGCGACTCATTAAGCAGTTACCACTGATATCTATCTCCATACTTGATAAAACCATTTCGCCATTTCTAGTTGCTAGGGGCCTTGGAACTTATCTCAGATAAACGTATGTGGCGAAGCAGTGTTTATAAGGTTGGGATGTAGTAGCAAGATTGCCTCCACAAGAGGTCAGGAAATTCTCAGAGAAAAAATGCTTCGGGGTCAGGAAAAAGTCAATCAGGTTTATTTTGAGCCAGGGAAGGTTGAAAGTTTGAAGAAACGTCAGAGAAAACTTGAATTTTAATTAACAGCAGTCATTGAACACCTTCGGAAATCTAATGTAAAGAAGCGTATTTCCCGTTTTATTTCAGATCATCGAGATGCCAAGGATAATTCTTTCGATAATGAAAAAGGACAAAAAGGTGCAGAACTGATGAAATAATGTGCACATTAAAGCTCATAAGCAAAGTATCGAGTTTTCTGCAAAAATCAAATCCACCTTTGATCATAAAATAAGTAGCGATCTGCCCCCGGCACAAAATGCCAAACCTGGTGAGAAAAAAGTCGAATTTCCAAATACTCACTGAACGATTGTAGCTCAAAATGACGGTGGAAAAATCCACCGTCATTTTCAGGCGATGAATGAAAATTCGTTTGCTATGCCAGCCAATCATGCAAAAAGCAAGACAATCCTTAAATGATGATAAGAAAATTTTTCCGTCAGTAATTGGTCAAACTGGCTGTAAATGACTACCGTGACAAATAATTTTCAGCTCTAACAAGCCAGTTCAGAAAGAAAAAGTGTTTTTGAATCATAATATCATTTGTGGCATACAGTTCAGTTATCGCCAATGTCGCGCAGATTTCAATTAACAGGTCGTTTTCACGCCGTTTGCTCTAGAGAGTGGTCGCTTTTTCCTTTAGACTTGAAGCATAAAATATTAAAATCTGATAAAAAAGGTGACTAAACCCGATTTGAAAAGATAGAAATGAACTGTTCCGTGACTGTTAACTTATCAACCTACAGATAAGAAATAATACCCTTCTCTTATCCTCTCTTGCCTAAACGATATTTAAGTAAGCACGTTTTATACCCGGGGAAGGGACTCCGCATATGAAAGTGGTATGCTTGTCGTCTCGCTTAGGAGTGTAAATTTCGGATTTTGGTCTCACTTAGGGTGTTCTGGGCAAAACGCCATCATATTTAGCCGTGAAGGTCTCGTTTAGGGTAGCCTCCCACGCAGGCGTTTTTAGGGGAGCTCGTATTTCTTCCCTCCCCACGAGCTCCCCTAAAAACGCCTGCGTGGGAGGCTACGTTAAGGGTTGCACGCGAAAAAATATAAAAATATAACCTATAACGTGGTCTCTTTTAGGGGACAAAAAATGCTTGGGCCACGCCCATATAGGTTTCCTTTAGGCGTTTAATTCAAAATTTCCGGCGAGCATCCCTACCCTTTCATATGCGGAGTCATCCCTGGTGTTTTATAATGAATGATTTTCCAGTAATCGGATACCCATGTTTTGCGCACAGGATTCTGGGATCGCCAGGGGGCAAACATTGCCAGTCGCTACAAAGAAATGTATGGCGTGGAGTTGTTTCTGCGTTAAAAGCAGTGTCTTTGGACATAGAATGCCGCATTTTGCCGTGATTTTATGAGAAACGGAGGTGAATAATGTTGGTGTGTTGAAAGTTCAAGTTTCTGTGTGATTAATGCGATAAATTCTATCGATAAACACTCCTTGCGTGAGGTTGAGTGTGAAATTTATTTTCACTGAATTTACACAGACATGAAGAATTCGAAGAACAGGTCTCGAAATATATAGTGCAAATTTAGGTATACATGAAAGCGTTTAAGCTATAATTACGTGCGGTGATATTTACGACGAGTGTAACTACGCTCGGCCGCAATCAGCGCTGTGCGGCGCTTTGCGGGTTATGACAAGACAACGATCGTAGGTATGTACATGGCCATAAAAATAAAAAAATCTTCCTTTACTTTGGTATAAACAAAGTGACATCTACAAAATATTTCATGGAAAGTACATGGTATTGAACCATTAGTAGATGAGGCAGAAATCGTACAAACGAGTAAGATTTCCGTTTCAAAAGCGGTGAGTGTGAAAATAAATACCAAGTTGACGTGCGAAATTTAGAGATTCTATATCGTCCCTCGAAATGATTGGAAAACGCATTACAATTCATCGGTTCTCAGGATCATGACAAAACATTTCGCTTGTGTTTTTTCCGCGAGAAGAAATCAATATACTAATGTGCGGAAGATGTTTTTGTTTTTAAATTTAATACATATCAAATTCGACAACACATAAGCTTACCTTCGATCGTTGTCACAAACCGGCACAGCATTGTGATCGCCGCCGAGCGGAAGGTAATTACACTCGTTGTAAATATGAACACATGTAAGTACAACTGGAAAGGCTTAAATGAGTCCGCATTCCCCGCTCATTTATACCTAAGTTAGTACTATATATTTTGAGACCATTCAGTAAATTCACAGTCGACTTTTGCAAGAATCAGTGTTTATCGGTAGATTTCATCGCATTGATCCCACAGAAACTTACAATTTCTTTGCACCAACATTAGTCACCTCCGCTTCTCATAAAATCATGGCGAAATGTTGCATTGTCTGTCCAAAGACACTGCTTTTACCAGAGAAACAGCTCCACGCCATACATTTCTTTGTAGCGACTCGCAATGTTGGCCCCCTGGCGATCCCAGAATCCTGTGCGCAAAACATGGGTATCCGATTACTGGAAAATCATTCATTGCGTGCAGTTTGTTCAACTGTCAGACACTTAATTTTTTTTTAAAGAAGCCGCCCAGGAAATTGAAGAAGTTTATTGAAAGGCAGATCTGAAATGAGGTCAAATGACAGACATGCGAACAATGATTCAGTAGTGTAAATGCATCTGAAACGTCTTGAGTATGGAGACAAAAAGAAAAGTTCTCTAAGAACTCAGAGGAAGAATTTGAAAAGAGGTCCCGTAAAGAATCCCACAAACGATCTGTTTTGCTTTGATCGGAAAGCGGAAAAGAAGAAGAGCCCGGGGCACACTTTTGAAGTGCAGCGACGAGTGTTCCCTTTGATCCGGTTAACTGCCGAAGCTATTGCAGAAGCACGTAATCCAAACATCAGCGATGTGTTTGAGCTGTACTGTTCACTTTCAGATAGGAAAGAAAGAGGTTCTTTTACTTTCAGCGGTTGTGGCAGTAGTAGCTTTGAGAGTAAGTTGTTGGACAGCGCGCGGGATGACATGTGTTATACAGTCATTCTGCTAACTCGGTAACATTAGGTATCAAAGACCTTATTTTACCAGATCTTCATTGTTTTTCTGGCAATTTCAGCCCCTTATCATCGAATTTGTGCCATAATTCTGCGTTTTAGAATATCTCCAAAATAAAGACATTCGAAATCGCTTCAACACGGAAACTCCAAGTACTTTCTAAAGTTAGTGTTATTTTCTTAGAAGTGTTTACTAAAGTCAGAGACAGTTATAACTTCCTTAGTTTCAAGGAATGAGGAAAATATGTCGTGACCAAATTCAACTAAAATCATATTTTTGTTTCTTGTATAGCTACTTCGAAGCGATCCCAGAATTTTGATTTCAAATTTTGTCTCCTTAAAGATATACTGCCTGGGAAGTTCGTTTTTAGCAGATTCGTCCTACAGAGCACATGGATGGATATGACTTAACATGACTTAATTCTAGAGGCGGCACTTTCGCTCTTAGTTCGAGCTGTTGACTCCGGCGATTCGGTCAAATAATCTAGTGTAATCATATTTAGCTTCCTTCACGCAATATTAATAATCATTGTGATCTTGCTAAACTCCTGCAGAATGATCCCTTTTTTCTTATAAGGAATAAAGAGCTCAGAAAAAGACAATGTTTTACATCTCAAGCCTTCTTTGAGGGGTGACTGCATTGCAAAACTGAAAAGTTAAAAAAAAACGTTTTTTGGTAAAGTGTTTGACGTTAAAGCACAACATAACACGACATTCTGAAATCGCTTCGACACGAGAGCTCCAAGTACTTTTTGAAGTCAGTGGTGTTGTTTTCCTAGAAGTGTTAACTAAAGTCAAAGACAGTTATAACTTCCCTAGCATATAGTTTCAAGGTATGAGGAAAATTTGTGATGACGAAATTCAACTCAAATCACATTTTTGTTTCTTGTATCTACTTCGAAGAAGCGATCCCAGAATCATGCAAGCGATGGTCACCAGAAAAACATAGTGACTAATTGGCTGAGGACCAGTTGACCCTCTGTAGTTCCCGCAACAACCTCTTTTTTGAGGGTAGTTTGCCGTTACTAAAAGGTCACGCAATGGTCACCAGAAAAACATAGTGACTAATTGGCTGAGGACCAGTTGACCCTCTGTAGTTCCCGCAACAACCTCTTTTTTGAGGGTAGTTTGCCGTTACTAAAAGGTCACGCAATGGTCACCAGAAAAACATAGTGACTAATTGGCTGAGGACCAGTTGACCCTCTGTAGTTCCCGCAACAACCTCTATTTTGAGGGTAGTTTGCCGTTACTAAAAGGTCAAGCGATGGTCACCAGAAAAACATAGTGACTAATTGGCTGAGGACCAGTGACCCTCTGTAGTTCCCGCAACAACCTCTTTTTTGAGGGTAGTTTGCCGTTACTAAAAGGTCACGCAATGGTCACCAGAAAAACATAGTGACTAATTGGCTGAGGACCAGTTGACCCTCTGTAGTTCCCGCAACAACCTCTTTTTGAGGGTAGTTTGCCGTTACTAAAAGGTCACGCAATGGTCACCAGAAAAACATAGTGACTAATTGGCTGAGGACCAGTTGACCCTCTGTAGTTCCCGCAACAACCTCTTTTTTTTGAGGGTAGTTTGCCGTTACTAAAAGGTCAAGCGATGGTCACCAGAAAAACATAGTGACTAATTGGCTGAGGACCAGTTGACCCTCTGTAGTTCCCGCAACAACCTCTTTTTTGAGGGTAGTTTGCCGTTACTAAAAGGTCACGCAATGGTCACCAGAAAAACATAGTGACTAATTGGCTGAGGACCAGTTGACCCTCTGTAGTTCCCGCAACAACCTCTTTTTTGAGGGTAGTTTGCCGTTACTAAAAGGTCAAGCGATGGTCACCAGAAAAACATAGTGACTAATTGGCTGAGGACCAGTTGACCCTCTGTAGTTCCCGCAACAACCTCTTTTTTGAGGGTAGTTTGCCGTTACTAAAAGGTCACGCAATGGTCACCAGAAAAACATAGTGACTAATTGGCTGAGGACCAGTTGACCCTCTGTAGTTCCCGCAACAACCTCTTTTTTGAGGGTAGTTTGCCATTACTAAAAGGTCACGCAATGGTCACCAGAAAAACATAGTGACTAATTGGCTGAGGACCAGTTGACCCTCTGTAGTTCCCGCAACAACCTCTTTTTTGAGGGTAGTTTGCCGTTACTAAAAGGTCACGCGATGGTCACCAGAAAAACATAGTGACTAATTGGCTGAGGACCAGTTGACCCTCTGTAGTTCCCGCAACAACCTCTTTTTTGAGGGTAGTTTGCCGTTACTAAAAGGTCACGCAATGGTCACGAGAAAAACATAGTGACTAATTGACTGAGGACCAGTTGACCCTCTGTAGTTCCCGCAACAAATTCTAACAAATTAGTCATACTTTTTCTCTGACAATGTTATCGTTTTATTTATTACTGTGTCAAATCATATTCAGGACTGGAATTTTGACTTGAGATCGTATAGAAAGTTTTTCTCTAAGCCTGAACCTAGCTTTGAACAAATAAGTATATCAAAAAAGATTAAAAGGAAGAGGAGGAGCAACTCTTTAACAAGTCACAGGAGTAATAATGCAAAGCCCCAGAGGAGTCATCATGTGAGGAAGGTAAAGAAAATCGATTATTATATGTCAATAGCTATCAAAAAATTCTATTGATTGTTATTTCTGGAGCATAAGTACATTGTTATGTGAAATATCTTTTACTGATCAAACGAAATATTGAAACAAAACTTTAAAAGAGTAAACGTAATGTAAATAAATGATTCAGCTTGCTTTCATTGGCAACTGTTAAAGTTGACACCTATATATCAAGCCGTGGTGCTACTGTGTAATGTATAAATTGTGAGTAAGATGTCCTCTTTTTCAAAAATTTGCAAAGCGTCATGAAATTTATCTGCCAAACAACTAATGGAAAGAGGAGTAGGGGTAGCACGACCATGAAACTTGAAATTATTGACACTTGTCTATTTAAAGATAGGCTTACAACAGTTTGGGAAGAAATTGCCAAATGCCTACATGTAACATGTAAGCCAGCCTAAATGAAATCATCTATCCATATCATTTGTTGAAGTGAATTTTCAATCAAGGTTTTGCTGATACCTTGATCTAATTTTTGTGGACTTAGGACATCTACTTAATTGGGGCTGACTTGGTCAACTTATATATTGAGTTCCAGTCAGCTGTCCAGTTGAGACAGGGTTATCATTAAAACGATTATTTTATTATTATTTAAGGTTGAACACATCTCACAGCAGGAATATATTTTTATTGAAATTTTAATCTCAATAGGCTAAAAAGTCTGCTAAGAAGAAGCTTGAGAGGCCACATGCCACGGAACTCTCCAAAAATATGGGCTTTTGCAGAACTGATGTTCAAGAAGATGACTTATTTCCAGTTCTCAACTTGAGAGACAGGTGCCTATTTATCACAGGTTTATAAACCAATTATCTTGAAAGTGAGAAACACAGAATTTGAGACCACGTGATACATAATTTTACAAAGTCTGCAAAGTCAGCAATTCCAATCCTACACTGTGGCTCATTTTGACTTCACAGAACAAAAATTTGAGGCATTTCTTGCACATTTATACTCTCAAATTTCTGCAGTGATGCCAGCTGATATCATGATAATATTGTTATCTGCTTGAATGTCTTTGATCTGTCAAGAAACGGTGAGATAAAATTGATATGTATTTTTGAGTGACACCACCTTGAAATTCCAACCTTAGCAACCTACAAACACTGAGATGTTAGTGAGGATTCAAGTTATTGGGAGTCAACTGTACGTAATTTAATTTTGCAATATGCATGGAATATTCTTAAGCCTTGACAAAGTTAATTGTTCACATTCTAATATATGATTATAAATTACAATATCAAATAACTGTATTTCATTTCAAAATCATTAACAATACAATGCCAACAACATTTTTTTTGAACTCATTTTAGAATGTTAATTCTGGTGTACCACAGACGAGAACGTCTGGAGCTGACAATGCCCCATACAACAAATGTGATTGATTTGAAGCTGAAAATCCAGAGTTTAACTCAGATTTTACCACGAAACCAAAAACTATTCTTTAGAGGCACACAGGTTAGTATGAAGGGGGCATTTTGAGGCAACAATTTTAAAACAATAACATTAGGATGTCATCATATATCACATACAGTTATGATTCAGTTGAATAGGGGATCAAAAGTCAACTAGCTTAGATTATACCTGAACCCTCAGATGAAAGGAAACTACTATGTTTGGGCTGGAATGCTTTTTCAATATGCATATTTGATGGCTATAGAAAGGTTCCCAGCCATTTTTTATTTCATTAGCCAAAGCATTATCATTTTACATAAGGTTTGTGAAGGTAGATGACATGTTTGTTTGTTTGTTTTTCTTTTTAACAGCTACTTGATAAACAGATTCTGAAAGAGTTTAAGCAAGATGTTGTGTCACTCTCTCTTGTAGCTGGTCCAATCAAAGGAGGAGGTCTGATTCTTTTATAAATTGATTATTGATACATTTTCAGCGATAATATAAGATCCCAATGTGCTTATTTTAAGTTAACGTTGGCTACACTGTAAGCAGTGCGAACTAGTGTCTCCATTTCTATTATTTCAGTTTACAGATAAAAAGTGTTCATCAAATAAACTCTAGGCACTGTCGAGGGGTCACTGGTGTCATTTGAAATTTATCCATGTTAATTTCCTTCATTTCTATATTAAGGGAAGCACTCTACCAAACCAGTGTAAATCAAGTGCTAATAATTTTTCTCAGATCTTACACTTTACACCTATTAATTTTATCCCTGTGACATTGAATCAGAAGTAGATGTTTCTGATGGAATTTAAATCAAAACTTGAATGTTGTCATTTGTCTTGAACCTCAAATTCAAGTAAAAATTGAGAACATAGGCTTCAAAATAAAAACCTTTGTTGTCTTAAATTGACCAAAGATCAATTAAACTTCATTGATATCCCTTAAATAAATTTATTTCATACCTTGTTTAATAGATCCATTGTTGATTAATAAATTAATATTTAACAAATAATACACTGTTACAAATCAACAGGAAAATGTTCGCTACCACCAGCTAAAGAAATAGAGGAATGGTTTATAAGTTCCTACCAGAAGTCAATAGGTAACACTGTCACCAAAGAGGCCATATTCAATAGTGCCTGCGAACATTTCAAAGGTTATGCCAGCAAGGAGGCCTTGCATCGTTTCATTTTTGAAATTCTAGGCAGAAACATATTCGACGTGCATAAGGACTTCAGGGGTATAAGAATGAAAAAGGGAAGAAAAACCATTCACCACCTGAGACCTAAAATAACTACGGTGGTCCCAGGAGAGCGTGTAAATACCACTGGTCTTGAGGGAACACCAGAAAATGTAAAAATTGACTCTACAGGCCTGGCACAAACACAAAAAAAAGGTGATAATGAAGGTGAATCAGGCGATGTGGACACCGGATGCTTGGAAGGACCACATGAAGATAAGGACACTGCTGGCCTGGAAGGACCACCATGTGATGTGGATATCACAGGCCCTGAAGGACCACCAGGTGATGTGGACACCACAAGCTCGGAAGGACCACCAGGTGATGTGAAAATCACAGGCAAGGCAGGAATATCAGATGAAGTGAACATTGAAGGGATACCAGATGATGTGGACACCACATGCACTGAAGGACCACAAGGTGATGTGGACACCCCAGCGGTTGAAGGGACATCACATTACGTGGACACCACAGGCACTGAACGACCACAAGGTGATGTGGACACCCCAGCTGTTGAAGGTACAGTAGACAATGGGGACACCAAAGGCACTGAAGGACCACAAAGTGATGTGGACACCTCAGCCATTAGAGGGACAATAGACTATATGGACACCACAGGCACTGAAGGACCACAAAGTGATGTGGACACCTCAGCCATGGAAGGGACAATAGACAATATGGACACCACAGGCACTGAAGGACCACAAAGTGATGTGGACACCTCAGCCATGGAAGGGACAATAGACAATATGGACACCACAGGCACTGAAGGACCACAAAGTGATGTGGACACCTCAGCCATGGAAGGGACAATAGACGATATGGACACCACAGGCACTGAAGGACCACAAGGTGACGGGGATACCTCAGCCATTGAAGGGACATTAGACGATGTGGCCACCACAGGCACTGAAGGACCACAAGGTGATGTGAACACCTCAGCTGCTGAAGGGACAACAGATGATGTGGACACCACAGGCCTGGAAAAAACACCTTGGAAAAAAGATGTGGACATGACAGGCCTGGAAACAACAGCAACAAGTAATAGTGTGGAGACAACAGGCCTGGATGAAGGTGATGTGGACACTACAGGCCTGGAAAGAAAACCAGGAAATGAAGATTTGTTCCACACAGGTTTGGAAGAACCACTACAAAAAAGTGAGACGGCAACCTTTGCTCCCCTTGACCAGGATGGATTGCCAGATCTGTGGGAAATGCCAGACTGGGATGATACAGGCATAAGTACAAAACCACTAGTTTTTGAGCAAAAATCCTTTCTTTCAAAAAGCTGGAGTAACACTAAGATAAAAGAAATAAAGCCAAAAGATCTCAACTGCTCAAGCTTTGAACAACTGTTGGCAGAAAAAATCCCTTGTCCATCAATGCGCATGAATAACAGTGAAAGAATTCGAATTTATCAGGAATCATCTCAGTGTAGCAACAACATTGACAATACTTTTCGAGCATTCCTTTGTTATGCCTTCCCCCCGCTTGAAATTTCTACAAAAGTGGCTAAAGAATTCAGGGACTTAACATACGAGTCTGACCGATTCCCACAGTATACATGCATATGTCTGTCAAGGTTACGAAATAAGATCAGGGTGTCAATCCGTTGTGAAATTTGCAAACTCTATGAAGAGAGCTGTCTGCGAAGAGGACAATTTATCAAGTTAGGAAAATCTACGCAAAAGGAGTTTGATGGAATATCACAGGTGGTGGCTCACCACCAATCCAGAGTCCATCAGTCTGCTGCCATGTACCTCTCAGGCTCAAAAGAGCTGGATGAGGATGTAAGTAGCAATAGAGGTGTAGTAGGAGATGCTAAGCCATTGCCTCGACAGAGAACAATAACTGAAGCTCTAAAAATCACCAAGCCAGATAGTCAAAGCTCAGGGTGCCTCCACTTTTTTGAAAACCCTGATATTGTTGAGTCTTTTAAAGATGACTGTTCAATTAGAAAAGTGTCCACAAAGACATTATTTGAACGAGAGAGGTCTAAAGGCAAATTTAGATGTTTTCTAAAAGAAAAAGGGCATACGACATGTTCCACTTTCAAGGGTTGGAAGGATAAGCACCCTAGGGAAGCAGAGGAGCTTGCGAAGTCGCGCCCTGCCAGGGCAATATATGTGTTATTAAACAGAGAAGTTACCTACAAAGGCCAGAAATTGTTTGTTAAGGGAGCAATAAAAAGCATAGATCCACCATGCACTGGAAAACCTTCTGGGCTTCCCCGTCACCCCTTAACTTGCAAAAATTGTTTTTCACAACAACAGTATCTGGTGGATTTAAGTAAAAAGCGAGATCAATCAGTGTATGATGCAAGCAGTGAGAACAGGATAGGAAAAAAGGGTTTCCGTCATGACTACGCACTCAAAAATGAAATAAAGGAAAAAGTTGTAGAGCTGCAGGATTCAAACCGTAAACTGGGAAAAACAGTGACCAGTTTGTCAGCAAAGAAGTCAAAAACTTGGGAAGAAATGCTCCAGGAAAGTTGTGAAGAAAAATACCAAGAGAAACTAATTGTAGATTTGCTGCACCTTTTTAAAGAGGACATAGACCAGACAAATCCTGTTCAAGTGACAATTATAAGAAATCTTGTTGGAAAACTAAGAAGAGGTGTAAACCATCACTTTGTTCCATTGATGAAAACCATTGGAAAGATGCACAAAATCCGCCTTGGGGAAACCAACTATGATCTTATGAAGGTATGCCTCAAACATGGCGAGTTAATCTTAGTACCTAGCACATTTACAGTGAATATTTATGACCTGTTATGAAGAAGGTAAGAAATATAACATAAGATGTCACACCTTTTATGTTTTTTAGGACTTGTTTGGTCTCCCATCAAGCACATCATGTGATGACTTCAAAACTCACCGGAAATTACAGGCAGGGTACAATCCTGAGGTAATTGATGAAGCAGTTGAGCTGTACAAGGATGGACCAGTTATTGATGCCAGTGACGAGGCCAGAGCATTAAGGTTTGTTCATACATTGTATTGATAAAGGAGGAAAACAACTAAGAAAATAACAAAAAGTGACTCCTGTTAAGTACAACATTACATTTCGCTGCTTAACTTTCTGATAAACAAGATAAGAAAAGAACACTTCAGAATGTGAAGAAGTCATTTGATAGCAAAGTTAGATGTCAGTTTGTCTTGTCGGTCTGTCTGACTGTAATTTTGCAATAATAAACCTACAAATATCAATGGTGACAATCATTGAAATTATTAAAAACTGTCTTTTTTTTCAAAATCAGGTATCTACAGGCAATGAAAACTGAACAAGATGAAATTGTTCTGGTGGGAAAAAGCTTCAGCCCAGACATTGAAAAGTGGGAAGAGGAAAAAGTTCATATACCAAAAAAAAATGAATCAGAAGGTGTGTTGAAATCATACTGCTATTACTAATGTTTATTTTCCCCAATATGACATGGAGGTTTTGCATTAATTGGCTAATTAAAAATCATGGCCGAATGGGCTATTGACTCAGAGCCCACGAGGATGAGAGGAATAAGGAGGGGGTGGGTTAAAAGTCGCGGATCATCCCCAAATTTAAAATTAAATTATCCCCCCCCTTGAAGTTTCTGAAATGTTTAAACTAAACGACATAAAGTAATATTGGTAATTTATAACTGGTTAGGGTGATCTGAGCAATGACCAGGAATCATGTCCAGCATATTATTTCTTATGTTTAACAGCTTCCATACATAATTCATACAACTTTGTTTTATTAAAACTTGATTGTTCTTTTAAGGGGACAAGGACGATTTTTCAGCATTGAGGAGACTGGTATCGAAGGTGATAGATGACGATGGCCTAGCATCAAAGGTGTCCATTCATAACTTCAGCTCCCTTGGTTGCTCAACACGTCACCCCCTTATTTATATGATGTGGCCTACTCCAAATAAGGGCTATGGTGGTCGTCACCTACTTAAGATTTGGGAGAAAGTACGGGAAGATTGCGCCACCAGAGAAAAACCCTTGAAGCTAGTGGGGCATTCAACAGACTCAGCAGGATTTTCCCTTTCGGCATTGGTCACTCTTATGACACCAACAGAAGCTACTGTAAAAGAAGGAATTATGTACTTGGGCCTCTGTATTCCTGATGAGAGGTTTGTGGCTCCTTACTTTTGGTCTCTCCCCAGTATTGCATACTCAGACTTTGACCACCTGAGAAGAACACTTTTACGAAATCTGAAATATGACACACGTGACCTGACAATGTATAAGGATGGCAATGGCACTATGGTGGCCACCATCAATCACCTACATGAACTTATGGAAATATGTCTACAACAAGGAGAAGCAGTACCGTTCCTGGCTCAAGATCTAGTGCTGATCAACTTTTTTGATCAAAGACCAGATACTGCCAACAGAATATTTTCCCTCAAAGTTGCTGAAATGCTGGAAAGTCATGTCAGAGGATCACAGGCTACATGCCTTTACATCATCGCAGCCTACCATCTCACCGAACCATTTTATAATGTAGAATTTGGTACACCAGAACAGATCCAAATGTCTGTGTCTACAGGAATCACCATTTTCCGTTTATGGCGCAGATACCTTGAGTTGAAGAAGATGCGCCTACATGCTCTTCCAAATGCGTCCAAAATAAAGGAAAAAAGAGGACATTTTCTTACTTATGGTGCTTACACGACTGCTGAACTAATCTTCTCTGCTGCTTCTTTACATTGCCTTGCAATGTTTTTGCACTTCAAAGACCTTGGCCCATCACTATGCTCCCCTAACCGTTCTGGTACAATTTCAACAGAAAAAAAATCATTGGCCAGTTACAAGGAAAACTACTAATATCCAAACTTTGGACACATCACCAACATTTGGCGATATGTTAAATCGTTCAAAGGATCTGCAATTTATAACAGAAGCTATAAATGACTTGTCCACCTATGAAGGAGTCAGAATACCATCAACTAGCAATAGGAAAACATCACATTTCCGTTCAACTAGCAACCCACAACCTACAAACTACCAGTACCCTGACAGTTACCAGGAATTCCTTAAAAAGCAGCAGGATATGCATAAGAGGGGGGTTAAAAGAGCACAGGAACTTATAAATAAGTTTCTTCCTGAGGATTTTTCAACTCTTTTAGAGTCACATGGGGTATGGGATTTACCTTATTCTTTTAAGAAGCCAACAGGTATAAAGATGGTAAGTGTAGGCCCTCCACCTAAAGAATACAATAAATTACATGTATCATTATCCTCAAGTGCTGATTCAGCAGCTGTCATTAGCAACACCGAGGAAGAAAATGCAACTGACATTGACGACGTGCAAGTGGAAGAAGAAGAACAACCAAAAGGGTCAACAACAGACAGCAAGGATAGCGATCCTTCATCACACACTTCTGTCAGCGATGTTGAAGATAGCGATAGTGACCAGGATGATCACAACAGTGATACAGGTAAAAGTGTCCCACCCAACATGAGATGGTATATTAAAAAGGATGGAAATAATGTGCACATCTCCAAAGCTCTTAAAGTTCTGTTACCTAGGGAGTACATCTCAAAAGAACGATCCAGAAGACACTGGGTAGGAAAATCCCTTATTCAAGCTTGGAGTAAGATAGATAAAAGTCATGATGTGATCAGGTTCCGGGACGTGGCTGTAAGGGTCAAAGACCAGGTGGAGTTCTTGCACATTCTCTCTATACAATCAGAGGAGGGGAAAGAACAGATAAGTGCAAATTCGAAAAATAAAGGGTCAGTGAGAGGTCGACCATACACTGAAGTAAGTCAAGGTAAATATGATGTTCCTTACAAGATTTTATTGTCCAAGTGGATCCCTCTCAATAAAGTGCTTTGTGAAATTGAAATGGTGAAGAATGAGGATGGCACATCTTCATTATCTGAGGACAGCATTGCCAAACTGCAACTGAAGGAAAAAGACAACCTGAAAATTGCTAGCACTGCAGATACAAATACTGATGATGACTACTATGAGGTGGAAAAGGTTTTAGAAGTAAGACTCAACAAGCAGTTCCACTCAGAAGAATACAAAGTTAGGTTTAAAGGATACACCTCTGATGATGACATGTGGCTGCCAAGCTCTGCTTTTAAAGAGCCTGTCACTTTCCACACCGTTTCAAAAAGGGGTCGTCTGAGAAAGCATAGGATGAAAGAGGGATCATCAGCTCCTGAAACCCAAGGAAACAATCCAAGAAAGACTCCTACAGAGACTAACCTTAAAAGGAAATATGTCCATGAATTAAAGACAGGTAATACAAATAATCATTTTATACAACTGTATTCTTTTATAATCGCTATAATAGGAATTGGAGCAGATAGCCTACCTCTCTATGTAGCCAGTATAATATCTTATCTAATTTGTTTAAGATCACACAGAGGCAACAGCAGACATGGACACTGATGGAATCCCTGTAATCTAAAGCTAATGTGCTAGACATTGTAATAGTAATCTGATCTGGGAGATCATGGTGGCAATTAGATTGAAATAAAGCCTCTGATACCTAATTTCTGTTATTCTTTCAGAGGAATATACAGGAAGGAAGAAAATAAAGCTCTTGAAAGAAGACTCAGCTAAAGGTATAATCCAATCCAACAAATCATGTTATGAATAAAGGGACAGCTAATCAAAAAGCCCGCACTAAAATATCTACAGTATATAATTTTCTGTAAATTTTACACAATTCTCATTCTGTCTGGACACATTCCTTTACTTAACAGTTGTGAGAAAGTTCTCTTTGCTCATTTTTGCTCGTTTTCCTACACAAATCACTGACAAAATGACAGAAGATTTATGGAAATGAAAATGTAAAAGTAATGACTAATATTTCAAGTAGAGTTAGTTAACTTTGTTAATCCCTCTCATTAATTTTCAATGCAATGAATATATTTCTGTATTACAGATGGCAAGGGAGACAAGGAGAGAGGGTCCAAAAGAAAAAAGATGTCTCATGCTCTGCAAAAAGGTACTACATGTAAGAATTGTTTTATGACAAAAGACCTGGAACTACAGAGTTCTTTTCCATAAAAGAATCGTAACCCGACAATACCCCGATTGCCTGAGGCCTAGATATTACATGGCTATTGTCATGGATGATTTCTTTAAGGTGCGTGTAGATTCATATGGGCTACAAAATAGCATAATAAAGGATTTAAAAACACTGAAGTGGCTCATGTCATGTTCTGGTACATTCTCCTTACATATAGGTAAGAAGCCTAAAAAAGGAAAGCAATCGAGAGATGGAAGACATTTTCGCCAAACAGTTAACCAGATGACAGGTATCAGAGATGATTACCTGTCTTCAGAAGATGAAGAAGATTCAAAAAAACTGGTCACCTTTGCATCTACCCATCAGGGTGACAGTGATCAACCTCTCTACCACTATCCAGGTCAACAGTGTGCTGGAATTGCTTTCATATCCCTTCTCTATAGCACCATTCTTCCAGTTGCTTCTTGGAAGAAATGTGATTTGGATAAAATGATGATGGTTGGGGACAGACTCCACTTTTTCCGTGTCTGCTGCCTGGGGTACAGTACTGAATCAACCCAAAAGTTGCATGTTGACGAGTTACCAATCAAATTAATAGCTTTCAATTACGAATTTCAAGTAGAGAGAGATGTTTTTGGTGGCAACACCAGGCACGAGGAAGAAGAAGAAACAGAGAGTGAAGAAGGTGTTTGGACCTTAGAAAGGGTCCTGGAAAAAAGCGTCCAAGAAAACTACCCTGGCCTTGTTCTTCGAATCCAGGACTACTGTGTGTCATGCATAAACAGTTATGGTGAGTGGTTCATGTTTGATTCACATGCAAGGGATCAAAATGGGATGATTGATGGAAATGGTAAAAACCGTCTTATTAAAATTTTCAAATTCTGCAGCGCTTGCCAAACACATTAATGATTTCATAGAGGCAAATAATGGAACCGACTTATCATATGAGGCCTTGGTGTTAATCAAAATACAGCGCAAAAGTTGTACAACTAAAGATGAGACATGCATCAACTTTGTTCCTTCTGCCATCCTCACAATGTACCGATCAAAGTATGGGAATGTGCAGGTGGACAGTGATAACCTTCAAAATTTAGAACAAGGATTCTTAATTGATGACAACATAGTTGACTTTGTATTTTTTTACAAGGCTGAAGAAATTAGTGCTGCTCCTTATATTTCAACAGACACACTGTACATATTCAGCTCATGTTTTCATTAAAAACTTGCCAGTTTCAATCCAAACAGGATACGAAATTGGACAAAGGGTGTAAATATTTTTTTAAAGGAGTATGTTATAATTCCAGTATGTACAGGTACACATTGGATGTTAGTAATTGTCAAAATGAACCGTGGTGATGGCGTCTCCATCATGATTCTAGACGCAGCAAATAGGCCTTCTCTTAGGTCAAACAAAATACATCGTCCATCAGTTGAGCGTTTAGTTAAAAACTATCTGCGAGATGAATGGGCTGCCAAAGCCAAGCTAAAAAAAAAAGTGTTTCCTTTGGGGAAGTGATCTACCCTGATGTCCCCCAGCAGCCAAATGACACTGACTGTGGTGCGTATGTGATGAAATTCTTCTCAGAGTTTTTAAATGACCTTCCAATTGATAATTGGCCCAGATGGACTCCAGAGTTTACTCATGATGAGGTAAGGCAATTGCGTACAGACATACAGTTTTTACTTCAACAGCTTTCACACCAACAGTCAAAGGAAAGAAATCCTAAAGTTACAACTTCCCCATAAATGCACTATGAGCATCAAGTTTGTAAATGCCATATGCAGCTCAAGAATTTAGAATCAATGAATAATAATGGTGATTTTTGTCTCAAGTGTTACAGTTATGTCTTGTAGAAGGTTAACAATGACCTTGTCAGCCTCGATGTCTTGAAGCTTGTGAACACTAAAGATGGTAAGACAACACAGAGAGGGAGTGGCAGCAAACTTACATTGTTTGTAGTGCAAGCAGTGACGAGTTCAAGAGAGAAAGGTCAACAGAAACAACACCATGTGAATATCAAGCCATTAGCCACGACAAAAGCCTGGATGACATAATAAAATAAATTGTTGGTTTAACTTGTGAACTGCACAACAAGTTTTAAGGCTGAAAATGAAGCTTAAAGTTAAATTTCTTCTTAAACTTGCACGGATGATTGCTAGAACTAGTCACAAGGTGCTCCACGAATTTAAGAGACAAGCTCGTAAACCTTAGATTGAAAGTGATTGTCCAGGTTTGATTCCTGTTGTGTACTGAAACTGCATGTCTACTCTCATAATTCAAAAGGTGAATGTAACTATTTCCTTTGGAGTTGCGGGTTTTCTCAAAATAATTTGTGACTTGTCCTATAACTTTGTACTCATATTATATGCATCTCAACAGGTTTTTTTTCTGATTTGCACCAGGAAAACTTATGTAGAAAACTTTCATTTAACTTTCTTTTTTTGTCACTAGGTATTATTAGGTATTAATAACTTTTTTTCAAAAGTCTCTATTCCTTGTGGGACCAAAAAAAGAAAGGGAAATTGCCCAAATATGGTTGATTACTAAATTGATGGAATTGTTGGCAAATTGACAATATTTGGCAGCCCAGACCCATTCTGAACAGGGCCTGGATTTGTTCTCTGGTGGTCCCGAGACCAAATCCTTGCCAATACATGTTAATATGGGTCAGATAGTCACCTCATTTGAGTTTTTTTTCCTGTCATGCTCAATTCTGTCAATTTGCATTTAGTCTTGGATTTTGTAGATGGAATGCCCATTTGCACCATCACCTTGTTAACAACAACTTTTTTGCATCAATATTTGGCTCCACAAGGCACAGAGGAAATGAATTTTTCGACAAGTTTACAAAATTTTAAGAATGGCCACATAGACATTTAATTGTATGTGTTAGTTTTTTCTAATAGATAATTTGCAGATTTTCTATAGACAAAAGATCAGATTGATATTCACAGAAATGCTCGATAACTCTTGCCTACAAGACATTTGTACAGAAATTCAGTAACTGATATTTATTTAACGCGATTTTGAACAAGACATTTAATTGTTTTACCTTCAAAAGCATATTTTTTTACATGTAAGGTCATATCTTGTCTGTTTAACTACTTCAAGGATGTAATACTATTCATCAGGGGAACTTGAAGTAGGATTGTACTAAAATGTCTTGTTCGTAACAAACCTACAACTTGGTCGTAAAGGAATGAAACTAATGCAATATTGTGTCAAAAAAAAAATGGTGGAATGGTAAATATGCTTTTCTAAAAGTTCTGCAACATAGACCTTTGATTGTATGTGTTAGTTTTTTCTAATAGATAATTTGCAGATTTTCTATAGACAAAAGATCAGATTGATATTCACGGAAATGCTCGGTAACTCTTGCCTACAAGACATTTGTACAGAAATTCAATAACTGATATTTATTTAACTCAATTTAGAACAAGACATTTAATTGTTTGACCTTCAAAAGCATATTTTTTTACATGTAAGATCATATCATGTCTGTTTAACTACTTCAAGGATGTAATGCCATTCATCAGGGGAACTTGAAGTAGGATTGTACTTGTTCGTAACAAACTGAAGACTTGGTTGAAAGGATAATTACATATACTGAACAAGGCCTAATCTGAAACTAATGCAATATTGTGAAAAAAAAAATGGTGGTATGGTAAATAAGCTTTTCTCCAAATTCTGTTTAATTTAATTTGAAATCAATAAAAGATGTAAACGATGTTCAGGATGTTTTACTTTGGTCTGAGTTATCAATTTAAATTTAAAGAAAGATTGCCACACAGCCTCATATGCATTATCTCGTAGACTACTTGTTGGCTTCCACACAAGCCGCTTATAATCGTGCAAGTGACTGGGGTCTGTGAGATGTTTTACTCTAAGGAAGTATGGAAATCTTTCTCTCATGCAAATAACAGCGAAAATATATAGGTTACTTAACTGCGTCGATACAACAGTGAACAACTTCCCTTTTCCGCCCGGAACGGTTACAAACCTCCATTACTGACAAATTTAGCTCAGTGTAGATAAAATGAAATTGAAACCCAAGCAGTTGAGTTTTATATCGATTTCAGTATCCCAGAAGTAAATAAAACAACAACAACAGAAGAACAAAAATACTTTTTCGTTGGACTACTCTTATATATCTTACTCACCGAGAAACATTACATAGAAACGATCACTAAATTGGTCGATCCAACAGTGAAATTGTAAAACAGTGATGAGTGACTACAAGAGATCAGAAAGTTTGTCAGCTGAATTATTTCGCTTACCTCAAAACTCTGTTCTTGACACACTGAAAGTATTGCTTTCTGCGACCATACATCTCAAGTAAAACGGCGCCAATAACAGAAGTCGTAGGCAATTATGATACTGTTTTGAATCATTGGACTGAGTCAAGCAAAAGCGAAGCAAGCTGTAGTATCACGTGACCACCTTTCCATGACCATTGTTTCCAAGAAATTCCACTCTAGATTCTAGTCTGGGGATTCCAGGTAGCTGGAATTTATTGGATTCCAGTGTTTGCTGTATTCCGGATTCCATAGGCAAAAATTACCCGGAATCCGGACTCCTTTACTTGGGG